GACAAATAGGTATTCATTTATTTATTCATTATATTTGTGTGCCACTTACAGTATCTTGTCCAGAGATGACCCTATAATCAAATAAATGAACACAAACACACAACACACACGCACACAAAATACATACTTACACACATACCTGGGGGTAATCTCCTAAATCCTGGAGGAGGGGGATTCATCAAAATTGAGCCAGCTTGGAGCCAAGGCTCCGGATTAGTAATTTACAGGTTAATTAAGTAATGGCGTGATGGCTCGGCAGCCAAGTAAACACTTGCACATATTTGCAGTTGGCAAAAGTCTTTTTAATTTAGTTGCTTAATAAAGAAAACAGACAGAACAAAAGACCGCTGTCGCAATTCTCTGGAGGATTATCCTCATTCCTGGCTGAATGTGAAAAGCCCGGGCTCTCTGCTCTTTGTGAAAAGAAAAGAAAAAAGAAAGAAAGAAAAAAACCCAGCAAAGTGTTGAGCCAGGTATCAGCAGAAACCAGTCTGAGACACGGGGGCTGCTCTAAAGAAAAGCAGAAATATTCTACCAAGCTTCAATGTGGAGCACGTTGGAAAAAGAGTAACAGGACAGCATTTAACTGAGAAGGCGGATAAAGATGGGATTTCCTCAGAAAACGAGCCCTGGCTAAAACAGCCATGAAAATGCAGGTCGCCCTTGACTTACAACCGTTCGCTTAGTGGCTGTTCAACGTTACAATGGCACTGAAAAATGTGGCTTATGATCCTTTTTCCCAGTTACGACCTTTGGAGCATCCCCCACGCTCATAAACACCTGGCACAACGTAGGAGAACAAACCCATCAGGACCAGAGTCAACCGTCCATCTGCATTTGAAAGACAGAGGCCGCTCTTTGGAAGACAGCAAAGTCTACATTTTGGACAGAGAGGACCAAATGGTTTGAAAGAGGGATCCAAGAGGCCATCTAGGTCAAAACTGAGCAGCCCTCTCTCAACGGGGGAGGGGGGATATGACCCCATCCATCTCCTGTCTACAACACAGTCCTTTCAGCAGTTCCAAGAAGGCCCCACACCCATTTGCACCACTCAGGTGATCCTGAGGACACAGGTAAACTTCCAAGTGGCTTTCATGACTCTCTCAAAGGATGCAAACAACCAGCTTTTCTGCAAGGAGCACAAACCCTTCCGTTCCCCACCATCCAGTCAGAGCTGAAGAAGCTTCTGGGATGAGAAGCGAAACGTCTTCTAAGGAAAACAAGACAGTCCAGTTGCCTCATGAGAAAAGCACCTTTGGGACAACCATGATCTGAAGGGCTGAGGATCTCCACAGATGTTTTTCTGGGTGGTCCAGGGCTGGAGACACGGGTCATGAATTCTGATAGAGCACCAGTTTCAGCTCTCAAAGAGGCCTTCACCACCAGCTCCTCCTTGACAGGTGTAGGGATTCCCCCATGTCCTGGGGATCCTGATTCGGAAGAAGGAACGTGTCTTCATCCTATCTGGCCTGCAAAACTCCATTTTTCTGTTCTTTTGAATTTTTTGCAGCCCAGATGCCAATGTACCCACTGATCCATTAGCTTTGCCGGTGTGACCAGGGCAGACTGAAGAGCGAGCTCAACCCAGTAGTGGCTGAGGAAGTATCTAAAAGTCATTGGGCATCCTTTGCACCCTTGGGTGTTTACTGAGTCAGAAGGACTTCAACCTTGGAAGGACCCATTCAGAGACCAAACGAAGAACTGCAGCTATGCTTTATGCACTAAAGAATCCTCCCAAGTTAATCACATAATATTTGTTATGAGATCTATCTCAGACAGGTCCATAATTTCCTCACTAACTGGTCGCAGAAAGCAAACGTTTCTCCAAATATTCAGTTCTTGGTCTGTAGCAGATCTGGGGGAAAGATTCCAGATGTGACTATTTCCATGGCTTATGATGAGAACTGTACAAGTTGCCAAAAAGTTCACAAACCCTAACTCATCTCAGATTGGGTTCCTTAAATCCTCCTGAAACTAGCTAGTGAGGTGCTGATATAAACTAATACAATCAGACACATTATTGTCCAAAGAAAATGTATTTATTCTCCAAAGATTAACCCTCTTGTTTTACTTTTTTTCCAAAAGCTATCCCAAAACATATGCTCCTCCTGAAGAAGGTTTAGCTATTTTATTGCTGAGAAACAACACCAACGTGATGCCCATCCATCTATGCATCCATGCATCCAAGCATCCATCCATCCATCCATGCATCCATCCATCCATCCATCCATCCATCCATCCATCCATCCATCCAAACCTTCAGATGTCATGGAATACAGAAGCCTCTAGGTTACTATGCATTTACTGCACATCTAAGCTTCATTTACCAAAAATATGGGGAAACAAGTCTAGGTAGATGCTGAACTTTTCTGGGAGCTTGAGTGGACCCCTAAAAGACGGAGGCTAGGGTCCATCAGTACCACACAAACTCTGGAAAGAGTGCAGAAACAAGCAATAAAGATGATTAAGGGGCAGAAGGCTAAAACATATGAAGAACAGTTGCAGGAATTGGGCTTGTCTAGTCTAGTTTTAAGAAGGAATGGATATGATAGCAGTACTCCAATATTTGGGGGGTTGTCACAAATAAGAGGGGGGTCAACCTCTTTACCAAAACACCTCTGGCCAAGACAAGAAGCAATGGGTGGAAACTAATCAAGGAGAGAAGCAACCTAGGGGAAATTTCCTAGCAGTGAGAACAATTAACCAGTGGGCCTCCAGAAGCAGTGGAAGCTTCTCAGAAGAGATTGGACACCCACTTTTCTAGAATGGTATAGAGCAGTGGTTCTTCACCTTTTTGAACGAATCGCCCCCTTGAGCCGATGAGGAAGTTGTCATCGCCCCCCTCCCCCAACATAATCTCTCAATCACAACATAGGAAATAATTCTTCAATTTATGCAAACACTTTTTTTGTTTTCTTTAAAATTGTCATCAGGACATATTGATGCAAATAATTTATTTCCAGTCTTTTCCCCATATCTCCCATATTCTGGCCAATGGAGTGCCACTGTATGGGTAGAGGCTGCTGCACAACATACATGAAGTTAAGTGATGCGTATTCACATATGTACGGCGTTCTGTACTGAAGCTAGCTGGAGGAACATTTGAAACACAATTCAATCCACTAATAGCGAGCAATCTGATGTTTTTATACGACAGATATACAGCGATTCACTGTACGAAAAAGTCTCAAAAGTGTCCCCAAAACGTCTTGCGCCATCGCCCCCATATCGCCCCCTTTTCATTCCTTCGCCCCCCTGAAAAACGAAATCGCCCCCTGGGGGGCAATATCTCCCAGGTTAAGAACCACTGGTATAGAGTCTCCTGCTTGCACAGGGGGCTGGACTAGAAGATCTCCAAGGTCCCTTCCAACTCTGTCATTCTATTCTGTTAATAGTGTAACTGAACCTGAAAAGGTATATTGGCTTAAGTCTTTCCTTCCAGTTACTAGAACTGATAGTTTTGACTATTACGATTGACCCCTTCCTAAACGGGCCAGGTGACCTTTGTGCAATTAATACTCAAAGGGGCACAAAATCCACAACGAACAGGGTAAGACAGAAAGCAGCAGAAACAGGACCTTGGATAGCTCCAAGTCAGTCCTCTTCATTTATTTAATTTTTTTTCCCCGTTTGGCTCTAAAAACAGGATGCGGATTGTTTATTTGTTTATTTGCCATAGTTTATTCTGCTCCGCACACACTCTGGATTCAAAGTCGACTTCGGGACAGATTGAAAAATTGAGCTGGGAGCATTGATTAAACCCCACTTCTCTAATCACAACGCCCACTGCAAGAGCGGTGCTGGTTTCCAGATGTTTACCAGGCATTCTTTAAGATACTTTTTGACCTCAGAGCCCTGAAGGGTTTGTGTCTGATTTGGGGAACTCAACCGCCCTCTCAAAATGACACGGCTTATAAAACATGGAGGAGACCCTCACACTTCAGAAGGTGGCTTCCTTTTTCTCTTGACCCATTCTAAGATTGTAGAACGCCAGTCCTTGGATACAGGACTTGGGCCCCACTGTCTTCTTTCAGACCCCCATCTAAAACAAGTCTCTTCTCCCAGGCTTTTCACAACTCACGGACATCTTCACGTGTTTTCATTCTTCTTCATCTGTTCTACTTCACAGCACATTGTTTATTGGCAATTGCATTTTTTAATACGACCTTATCTAATGTTGCCCTTTGGAACCACGAAGCTAGGCTGGGCCCTCATTTAACATTCAAACGTCTTTGAACGTTGCGTTACGGTTCTCCATTTGAAAACAGTAAAAACAACAACAACAACAAAAAACCCCAACCATTTATATGCTTTGGGAACATGGACACAAAACCATGGATGCAAAAATAAGCCACACACTTAAAAAATGCTTCAATTTCAATTGACGTTTTGATTTTTTTTTTTAAAACTATACCTTGCTGAATGTGAAATTCGGTTGCTACAATAACCTCAGTCGCTCATTCTACGATTCTCGGCTCAAAATACACACGTCCTCCAGGCACATTTGCGGGAAGGTGAACAGCAGGAGAACGTGGGGCAACGTTTTATTATGACAGAGCACCCTCTAATGTCCAACAGTCAAAACAAGGCAACATCCCTCGGGCCTTTTTAGCAACCAGTGCAGAAAAACATACTTTATATTATTAGGTACACAAAACAGTTCTTAAAATAGACTTAGGGTACAGGAATTTTTCCAATCTGTAGTACTGAATCCTTGAATTAGTGCAGGGAAAGTTTCCCTTCTGCTTGCATAATAAGGGATCCCCCCCCCATGCTAAAACACAAATCAAAAACTATTACAAGAAAGTCCTCAACTTACAAAAGTTCATTTAGTGACTGTTCAAAGTTACAACAGCCCTGAAGAAAGTGACTTATGGCCGTTTTACACAGCTACGACCTTTGCTGCATTCCCCCCCCCCCAGGTCTTGTGATCAAAATTCAAGTTTGAAGACCCCTGGATTAAACCCTCCTAAGGAGAAAATGTCAACAGCTGGACTTACTGTGCAACATCTGTTACAGTAGGCAGAAGAGCCTCTTCAGCTGTCAGATCCACCTCCTCAGTGAAACTGCTGGCTCTCGACATCCCACCACTGTTGCCTTCCAGATGTTTCTTGACTAAATTGAGAAGGTGAGGATGGGAAAGGGAACGTACGTCAATCCAGCCAACTAGGCCAAATTCTTCAACATGTCCTCTTTGACTGTATATAAGCAAGCGACTGCGTATCAATGGGAGCGATCCCCACACTTCCTCACACTGGTGATGTTACCTAGGCAGGTGATGAAATGTCTGCAAGCCCACAACCAAGCTCAGAGAGCGCCAAGGTCAACTTTGAGCTACGGTTATCCTCTTCTGTTGCTACCTTCCCCCCCCCCACACACTATCTCAGTTCTCAGTGAGTGAGGCATTTGTTTTAAAATCAGTTCAACGGGTAGGGCAAGGGTTTCTTTTTGGGAGTTCTAGTGTGGAGTTTATCAGCTGAAGCTTTAGGAACCAAAATGTTAGTACAGGTAGTCCTTGATTAACATGGTTAAGTTATACTTAAGGTCTCCTGCAGTGATCAATCAAACATCAAGAAAGTCTAATGGAAAAATATATACCCGTCCACAAACATCAAGCATTCCGTCTTATTATATCTCTGTCGGGGGATGGATGGATGGATGGATGGATGGATGGATGGAAGGAAAAATATAAATAGATAGATAGACAGACAGACAGACATTTAGATGGTTGGATGGATAGACAGACAGACATTTAGATCAGTGGTTCTCCACCTGTGGGTCGGGATCCCATTTGGGGTCGAACGACCATTTCACGGGGGTCGTCAAACAACGCAGTCCGCCGTTTTTTCCCCCTTTTCCTTAGCTGTGCTCCTCCCTTTTATTCTATTGGCTTTTGAAAGCCAATAGAATAGACGCTCTTGAATAGAGTCTAATTCTATTGGCTTTCAAAAGCCAATAGGAATTGTCCAGGCTGTCTCTGCCCTGCTGAGCCCGCCAAAAGTCCCATTCTGACCGGTTGGGTAGTCCTCGACTCACGACCGGTTGGGGGTCGTGGCATTAAAAAGGTTGAGAACCACTGACCTAGATGATGCTTAAGTACTCATGCTTCAGTAGATGGTGCTGTTTGCTGTTTGTCAATAACTGATTCATATAATGCGAAAGGGAGGGGTTGGCTTTCCAAAGCCAATAGGAATTGTCCAGGCTGTCTCTGCCCTGCTGAGCCCGCCAAAAGTCCCATTCTGCAAACGGTGTTGCACCAGTTGAGTAGTCCTCGACTTACGACCGGTTGGGGGTTGCGGCATTAAAAAGGTTGAGAACCACTGATTTAGATGGATGGATGGATGGATAAAAGATAGGAAGGATATATGAATGATGGATGATAGACAGATAGATATAGATAATAGATAGATGTAGATGATAGATAATAGAAATATAGATGATAGATCGATACAGACAGACAGAATTGTATTAGTGAAATATAACCACTAGAAGTTGTTTAAATGCAATAAAAATATGTGCTAATATCATCAGAAAAGAATATAGAGAATAGTAATCAAATAAGTGACATCTGAAGAAACAAAAGATCTATCCATAAACTGTCAATGTGCAATTAACTCAGTTTTTTTAACAAATTATTAAAGTTTAATCCATTGCCTCATCTTATCCATTTTAATATAGGATATCAATACAATGGTATTTACACAGTATAATTTGATTCTTAATATTCTCTTGTTTGGATGCCTTAAAAGTATTGAATACAGATAAAGGAAAGGAAAGAGTTGGATATTCTATCAAGGGATAAATATATTTTTATTAAACTAAGGTCTGCATCCCTGAGATTTGTAGGCTTGCTTAACAGGACTCGCACATTCACAGTGGCTCCCCCCCCCAACCTACCTGATTGCTTGAACATCCGTGTCAGACCTAATGGAGGAAGAAGGATGCATTGTGTTCAAAAAAAAAAAAAAAAAAAAAAGCGCCCCTCGCAGAATTTAGCTGTTTCTGAATTGATCCAAGGTGGGAAGATTATCCCATTGTTCTAAAAACAGTCCCAACTATAATAAGGTGAGCAACCTCTGTGTGAATTTTCAAAGTGTCCTTCAGTTGGGGGAAAAAATAAACTCTTTTATCAGGAAAGTTCAAAATTTGTACGACCAGTTATATATTTTTTTGCAGTAGGTGGATCTCTCTCTCTCTCTCAATCTCTCTCTTAATTCTCTCTCAATCTCTCTCTTAATTCTCTCTCTCTTCTCTCTCAATCTCTCTCTCTTAATTCTCTCTCTCAATCTCAATCTCTCTCTCTTAATTCTCTCTCTCAATCTCTCTCTATCTCAATCTCTCTCTCAAGTCTCTCTTCTCTCTCAATCTCTTTCTCTTAATTCTCTCTCTCAATCTCTCTCTCTTTCAATCTCTCTCAATCTCAATTCTCTCTCTCTCTCTCTTTCTCAATCTGAATCTCTCTCAATCTCTCTCTCTCTCTCTCTCTCAATGTCTCTCTCTCTCAATCTCTCTCTTAATTCTCTCTCAATCTCTCTCTCAATCTCAATTCTCTCTCTCTCTCTCTCTCTCAATCTCTTTCAATTCTCTCTCTTAATTCTCTCTCTCAAGTCTCTCTTCTCTCTCAATCTCTTTCTCTCAATTCTCTCTCTCAATCTCTCTCTCTTTCAATCTCTCTCAATCTCAATTCTCTCTCTCTCTTCTCTCTCAATCTCTCTCTCTCAATCTCTCTCAATCTCAATTCTCTCTCTCTCTCTCTTTCTCAATCTGAATCTCTCTCAATCTCTCTCTTAATTCTCTCTCAATCTCTCTCTCTCAATTCTCTCTCTCTTCTATTTTGTACAATCTGCCACAACCAGCCCAGGATGGATGAGTCACAGTCTCCAATTCCATTTCTGTCTTGATTAATATGAAAGGGATGCAAGTCACCTTGCTACCTTCTTTGCTAAATGTAAATTATACAGGATCGGGAACATCATTTCCAGACTTAGAATTAGCCAAAGGTCAGGAACAGCTGCAGAACGAGCAGCCCCTTCCCTCCCCCAGCCACTTCTCATTCAGAACAGCCCAGACCTGGTTAACTATTATAATTTTCTAGGATTGCCTGATGGTGAACATCCGGCAAAGCAAACCTCCTTCTTTTGCCGTGACCCCCAACCGGTCGTAAGTCGAGGACTACTCAACCGGTCGTAAGTCGAGGACTACTCAACGGGTGCAGCACCGTTTGCAGACTGGGACTTTTGGCGGGCTCAGCAGGGCAGAGACAGCCTGGACAATTCCTATTGGCTTTTGAAAGCCAATAGCATTAGACTCTATTCAAGAGAGTCTAGTCTATTGGCTTTCAAAAACCAATAGAATAAAAGGGAGTAGCACAGCTAAGGAAAAGGGGGGAAAATGGCGGACTGCGTTGTTTGGCGACCCCCGTGAAATGGTCGTTTTACCCCAAATGGGGTCCCGACCCACAGGTGGAGAACCACTGTGTTAAACGATCATCGGGATACAATTTTCACAAAAGCTGACTCCAGACTGAAATCCCACAAAGAAACGCAGTTTCATTTCAGCTGGAAATAACGGCTATTCCATAAACTATCAAACAACTGTATAAGGAATTCCACAAAGCTGAAATATCTGCCTCCCCCCCCCCCGCTAATGAAACCGTAGGAATGTTTCAATATTGTTTTTTATGTTGCGGGCCACTAAAGATCATAAGTATGGTGACTTGTTCAGGTTTTAAAAGAACAGTGTACACAAAGAAAACTAAATTCTTTTGGGGAGACTTAAAACTCACATGAACTGTGACACGCTTGTGATTCAACAAAGATGATCAGGGGACTGGAGGCTAAAACATATAAGGAACAGTTGCTTGAATTGGGGATGTCCAGTTTAATGAAGAGAAGGATGAGGGGGGACAGGATAGCCGTGTTCCAATCTCTCAGGGGCCGCCCCAAAGAAGAGGGAGTCAAGCTATTCTCCAAAGCGCCTGAAGACAGGACAAGAAGCAACGGGTGGAAACTAATCAAGGAGAGAAGCAACCTAGAACTAAGGAGCAACTTCCTGACAGTTAGAACAATTAACTAGTGGAACAACCGGCCTCCAGAAGCGTGAATGCTCCAACACTGGAAGTTTTAAAGAAGAGACTGGACAGCCATTTGTCTGAAATGGTGTAGGGTTTCCTGCCTGAGCAGGGGGTTGGACTAGATGACTCTAAGGTCCCTTCCAACTTTATTATTATTATTCAATTGAGAAAACACTTTGGGGCATGCAAAAGCATGCCACACCCAGGGTGGTCCATAAGATATGGTCCAAATAATTAAAATGATGACCGTGACGGTGTCATTGGAGGTCCCCCCCTTTTGTTTAATGTGCAACAACACATCCACACGTCAGGATATTTCCGGCAGTGTTAAATCTCCCATTCATGAAAGCAGCTGTATATCTTCTGAATCCAGGAAGTACCAACTCAAAAGGCATCAGGCCAAAAAGGGACAGCGGATAGTTTACCTCCCGGTTCATCAAGGTAGAAATTCAACTCTTTCTTGTCTTCTTGATCTTCGCTGAAGTCATAAGTAATCTGAGGAACGGGCAACGCTGCGTCGCCTGGATTTACAGATGTTGAGCCATGATCCCGCCCCGTTTTTCCTTTCCTCTTGTATCTTTTACTCTGAAACAAAACAGAAGACTCAAATTTTATCATCCGTCACGTGCAGAACAAAAATCAGGCCGATTACAGAATTTTGAAACTGTTACATTACATCGTCAAAAGCCAAGGCCCAAATCTGTTGTGATTTCAAGCAGTGTTTCTCAATCTTGACCATTTTAAGGCCTGTGGACTTCAACTCCCAGAATTCCACAGCCAGCAATGCTGGCTGTGGAATTCTGGGAATAGAAGTCCACAGGCCTTAAAATGGTCAAGGTTGAGAAACACGGATTTAGAACTCTCTAAATGTGCCTCACCATTATTCAAATCCCTGGTATTCAAATAAAATTCAGTCTTTGCTTTTGGAAGCTGCTCTGTAAAATTATGTACGTAGACAAGAAGCTCATACAGGCGGTCCTTGACTTGCCCCCAAACTGCCCATTACTAAGCGAGACAGCTGTTAACTGACTTCTGCCGCTTTGTATTACTTTTCTTGCCGCGTTGTTAAGCGAGTCACTGCAGATGTTAGTAACAGGATTGTGAAGTGACTCTGGCTCCCCCCCCCATCGACAAATGACCGTGGGACACTGCGACGGCCATAAATGCATGCCTGAATTCAGTGTCTGAATTTTGATCACGTGACCAGAGGGGAGGCGATGCTGCCACGGTCGTTAAGTGTGAAAAACGGTCATAAGTCGCTTTTTTCCCCCTGCGCTGTTGTAACTCTGAATGGCCACTAAATGAACTGATGTTAAGTCCAAGGAGTACTGTATGGAGTTGTGAGGATAAAACGTTGGGGGTTTTTCGCCTGAGGAAAAATGCTTTATAAATGTAATTAACTAAACCAGCGGTTCTCAACCTATGGGTTGCGACCCCATTGGGGGTCGATCGACCATTTCATGGGGGTCGCCAAGCAAGTCTGTCCGCCATTTTTTCCCCTTTTCCGGCGGGTGCCTTACCTCCCTTGGGATGGGCCAGCTGGTGGCCCAGCCAGTGGTCGGCCTGCGCCGTCTCTGCCGCTTGCCAGCTACGCCTCGGCTGGCGCAGGGGGCGGCACCACACATGCATGGCGCTCCCGGGCAGGGAAAGTCCTCGACTTACGACCAGTTGGGTAGTCCTCGACTTATAACCGGTTTAGTCCTCGACTTACGACCGGTTGGGGGGTCGCGGCATTAAAAAGATTGAGAACCACTGAACTAAACAAACAAACCAACAAACCAACCCTGTTTTTTCTCACCTGTTTTCTGAGATTTGGGCTGGGTGGTGCTGCTGTTTTCTTTGGGATCTGAGCTGAGGTGACGTAAATCTTCCAGGTGGCGATGCAGCCCTGAGGTTTCTCTGCTGCGTAGCTCCTCCACAAAGTCTACGGGGGGACGTAAAAAGAGGCGTTTGCCACTGCATATCGCAAGCTCAAGGATTTATTTTTATTTTCATTCCTTTATTTTAATGGTCCGACAATTTCTCCGGAACCTTCTTCTCTCACCCCTGCTACCAGGATGGCCACAGATCTTCAAGCTCAGCTTCGCTGATGTTTCTCTTTCATTTCCTTCTGATCGTTCAGTTGGGGTTTTTTTTTCCAATTTTATGATTCCGTATTTACCTGAATGAGAGAGGCCGCTGCAGGAATCTGCCTGTTGAAATGTTTCTGGCGCTGTTTCTGTTGGACTTTCAGGGCAAATCCTGATCCCAGGATCCCCTGGAAAACAAAGGAAATAAATTTTTAAAAGCCTTTAACCCCTGACATGCTCTTTCTGCCTGTCCCTTTATCATTATTGACAAGAATGACTCCCAAATGGAAGGCTGACTCCCACATTGGGAAAAAGAAGGCTGTGTGATTGGAACTGTGCTTGAAAGGTATTGATCAGTGCAACAGAAGTGTGGTCTCTCCAGTGAGGTATAAAGCAGCGCTATCACATCATGTGTGTCAATGCAATTCCAAGTTGGGGAAGAGTAATAATAATGATAAAGTTGGAAGGGACCTTGGAGGTCATCTAGTCCAACCCCCTGCCCAGGCAGGAAACCCTATACTATTTCGGACAAATGGCTGTCTAGTCTCTTCTTAAAAACTTCCAGTGTTGGAGCATTCACCACTTCTGGAGGCAGGTTGTTCCACTGGTTAATTGTTCTCACTGTCAGTAAGTTTCTCCTTAGTTCCAGGTTGCTTCTCTCCTTGATTAGCTTCCATCTGTTGCTTCTTGTCCTGCCTTCAGGCGCTTTGGAGAATAGCTTGACTCCCTCTTCTTTGGGGCAGCCCCTGAGATACTGGAAGACTGCTATCATGTCTCCCCTCGTCCTTCTCTTCGTTAAACTAGAAATACCCAATTCCAGCAACTGTTCTTCAGATGTTTTAGCCTCCAGTCCCCTGATCATCTTTGTTGCTCTTCTCTGTACTCTTTCTAGAGTCTCAGCATCTTTTTTACATCGTGGTGACCAAAACTGGATGCAGTATTCCAAGTGTGGCCTTACCAAGTCCTTGTAAAGTAGTATTAACACATCACGTGATCTTGATTCTATCCCTCTGTTGATGCAGCCCAGCACTGTGTTGGCCTTTTTGGCAGCTGCAGCACACGGCTGGCTCCTATTTAAGTGATTGTCCACTAGGACTCCGAGGTCCCTCTCACAATTACTATTATTGAGCAAGGTACCCCCTATACTATACCTGTACGTTTGGTTTTTCTTGCCTAAATGTAGAACCTTGCTTTTTTCACCATTGAATTTCATTTTGTTAGATAGCGCCCAGTGTTCAAGTCTGTCCAGATCCTCCTGTATCCAAAGCCTCTCTTCTGGAGTGTTGGCTATTCCTGCCAGCTTGGTGTCGTCTGCAAATTTGATGAGTTTCATCTGTCGGAACCATGACAACATGCTCTTGAAACTCTTGCTTTGTTGATGCAACCCAGGACTGCATTGGCTTGCTCAGCAGTTGCAGCACATGGCTGGCTCCTACCTAACACTCATATACTCACCGCAGGCAGAGCAAAGAACGAGATTGCAAAGACGGAGAAGCAGGAGGCGATTGTCTTGCCAATCCATGTCTGGGGCACTTTATCCCCGTACCCAATAGTGGTCACCGTCACCTACACAGCAGAGAAGAAAAAAGAGTATCATTTGCCTGGAATATAAATGCATTAGGATTTGGTTTCCAATGGGTACTAATAGCTGCCAAACGTGGACTTTATAGAATCATCCTTACGTAATGGAATCTTAATTCCTGCTGCAGAGTTTTCAGACCTAAGTATAGAACTGAATGATTTTTGGAAATATTTTACCTTCATCCACTGCTGACATGATAGATAGAGCATTTACTGTGGACTGCTCCTTTACTTTTCAATTTTAAAATGATCGGCTGCCGACTTTTTATTTAGGGAGAACAATTTCTCGGGACCGTACACTGCAGCTATTCGGTTCCAAAGTGAAAATATACTGGCCACATTGGGAAGGAGAGCTCTCAGCTGAGCTAAGAAATCAGAGAATCGTGGGGCTGGACGGGACTTGGGACTCCAGTTGCTAGCCTGAGTCCTTAATCACTAAATTAAACTGGCTCTCTTTTTTAAAAAAATATGTTTTATTAATTTTTAACATAATCACCTTAGTATTCGGTAGACAGTGCGTTGTCTGGGTTTACATTTAGCAAACATTCACTAACAGTTAAATTCTATAATCTATAATCCACATGATAGCTTTACATGCTTTCCTCTTTTCCCCAGAGTGTTCTCTTTTACCAACCTTAAGTTAATACAATTCTTATTGTTTTAATAAATGATAATTAAGTATAAAAGTTTTCTAATATTTCTACAAATAATAATCCCAACAATATAGTATTCCTTTTCTATCTAGTCATTCTGGTTGTCTCATCATAGATCCTGTTTACAGTTCTTGTTTACATCTGTTTTTCCCACAGTGTTCTAAACATTTTTTTTTACTGGTTAGGATTTTCTCAGAGTTAATTACATTTAAGTATTTAAATCTATTTTTTCTCATGTAAACCAACCCAATACGTTTACCTTTCTTGAGGAATAAATAAAACTAAAAAGAGGAAGAAGAAGAATGAGAATGAGAATAAAATGAAAAAATGGTATACTACTTAAATCCCTATTTCCTATCAAACTGGCTCTCATCTTCGTAAAAACCTCCCTCTTGATTAATCAGGTTTCCGGGGGCCACATGCCTGCCACACCTCCTTTGAGACTCTGATGCGAATAACATCTTCCTAGGGCAGGGGTAGGCAACCTTGGCTCTTTTATGACTCATGGACTTCAACTCCCAGAATTCCTGAGCCAGCTATGCTGGCTCAGGAATTCTGGGAATTGGAAGTCCACGAGTCATAAAAGAGCCAAGGTTGCCTACCCTTGTCCTAGGGTATCCAGAGAATAAGGCTTACCACTCCCCACCAGAGAGCATCAGCGTAGCTGGAGAATCCAGTCTGCCCCTCTTCATCCACTGCATCTTTCTCAGCAAGGTAGACAAAATAGGATGAGAAGATTAGGCCCAAGAAGCCGATATACAGGGTAGTTATGAGTTCCTAAGAAAAACAACAATGGATTGCTTAGACTGAGCTTGCAAGCTTGGACATAACAGCAACAGCTATTTCAAGCAATCATAGCAGTAAACCAGGTGCTCTATTAGACACTTACTATGTATCCTCCCTGGTTTGAGCTGACAGAAGTGAGGAGAACCTGTGGCCTAGAGGTTAATTCAGCTGCCTAATGTGCAAGCGGCCCAGGTTCGAATCTCAGAAGGGTATGGCTAGCTGATGAGAGCCAAATAGCTCGAAATAGCTATACTAGTCTCCCTTTAACTCTTTGTCAGCAAATACCTAAATTCATAGGAATAGTTTATCGCAGTAGTGACTTGAGCCTGCAAAACGCTCCTAGACTGGGGCTGAAAGGCAAAAGCAATCATAGCACTAGATCAGGTGCTTTATTAGACACTTAACTATAATATTATATATCTATATATAAAATATTCTGCTCACATACGGTACCTGACGATGTATGAAGACCACGGAGCCTAAGAGTCTCCACGTCCCACCTTGCCGGTCTACATGAAGCATGCGAAGGATCTGCAGAAACCGGATTCCCCTTATAAGAGACATTGGAAGAGAAAACGCAGAGTGAGAATGGAGAGCAGCCTTCTTTAGGTGTCAAAGTCTGGAATTAGGAGTGATTGGAGAGACTGGCACTTGTGTTGATACATACCCATCACATTATTATTATTATTATTAGGTATTCTACAACCTGATGCAAAATACAGAACAGGAGTCAAAAAGAGTAAGCCAAAGAAATTAAGGCCTAAGATTAGAAATACAATTAAATCCAGTTTACCTAATCTACTATTACATATTCTCTGCAAACCATCCTTGTTTCTCTTGTTCTATACGCCTCTTACAGCCCCTGAAGGCAGGACAAGAAGCAACAGATGGGAACTCATCAAGAGGAGAAGCAATCTAGAACAGGGGTTCTCAGCCTTGGCAACTTTAAGACTTGTGGACTTCAACTCCCAGAATTCCTCAGCCAGCTTTGCTGGGAGTTGAAGTCCACAAGTCTTAAAGTTGCCAAGGTTGAGAACCCCTGATCTAGAACTAAGGAGAAACTTCCTGACGGGGAGAGTAATTAACCAGTGGAACAACCTGCCTCCAGAAGTTGTGAATGCTCCAACACTTGAGGTTTTTAGGAAGAGATTCGACAGCCAAGGAAGCAACATTTTTTAGAGTCCGTACAGATCGGTTTATTGCAAGGAAAGAATATGCAAGGTTACAGAAACTTGGGAAATGAATCAGTATTATCTTATCTCTTCTTCATATATAAAGACATTAAGTAGGGCTTTTTAATTGCTGTTGATCTTCTTTCTATTTGTCTCAGAGAGGTATGAATAGCTTATCTCTTATCTGTCATTCCAAGGCACCACAAATCTGTTCTTTGATTGTTTTACATACATTAAAAAAAAATCACAACAATTATGGTGGTGGCAATAAAAAATATGTGCATATAGGCAGGGTGCAAAGTGGAAAAGCGGGATATTTTTAAATCATTGACCAAAACTGTTTAACATACCTTATTGCAGAGGTAGCAAACACCTGGCCATTTGATCCCACACTCAGAACGATAATTGACGCTACCACAACTATGAGATCTGTTGATAAAACATATGAACTATTTCAATATCTGCTCAACGCTATTTACGAAAAGAAGCCGTCTGTAAAACAGACCTTGATACTATGTAAAGCTATTTTCTTGCCCGAGTTTTAAATTAGCCATCCCAGCTTAGAGATACTACCTCAGCTAGTCCCGTGCAGTATTTTATTATTTATTGCATTGCCAGAACATGGCCTTCACAAATGCATCTGACTTTAGGATTGTCTGCACATCTTGGAAAGAAAGCAACAGCTTTAAACCGTGGACAACAGGAATAATCTCCATATTGCACAAGTAGGGAAGAATTGATAGAAGAAGAAAACTTTCTTAGGCCTTCTGGAAAATTCTTGATGATAGATAGAGGAGAAGCAAGACTAGAAGACCTCTAAGGTCCCTTCCAGATCTATTCTATTCTATTCTATTCTATTCTATTCTATTCTATTCTATTCTATTCCATTCCATTCCATTCCACTCCACTCCACTCCACTCCACATTCTCTTCTCTTCTCTATTCTATTCTATTCTATTCTATTCTATTCTATTCTATTCCTTATTCTGTTGTATTTTGCTCTGCTCTACTCTACTCTATTCCCTATTCTATTCTATTCTATTCTATTCTATTCTATTCTATTCTATTCTATTCTATTCTATTCTATTCTATTCTATTCTATTCTATTCTATTCTATTCCACTCTACTCTATTCTTTATTTCAATTCTATATTGAATTCTATATTGAATTCTATATTTCTATTCCATTCCATATTCTATTCTATTCTATTCCATTCCACTCTACTCTATTCTTTATTTCAATTCTATATTGAATTCTATATTTCTATTCCATTCCATATTCATTCTATTCTATTCTAATTCTATTCTATTCTATTCTATTCTATTCTATTCTATTCTATTCTATTCTATTCTATTCTATTCTATTCCATATTTCTATTCCATTCCATATTTCTATTCCATTCCATATTTTCTATTCTATTCTGTTGTTCTGTTCTGTTCTATTCTATTCTATTCCACTCTACTCTATTCTTTATTTCAATTCTATATTCAATTCTATATTTCTATTTCCATTCCATTCTATTCTGTTCCACTCCACTCTATATTCTATTCTATTCTATTCTATTCTATTCTATTCTATTCTATTCTATTCTATTCTATTCTATTCTATTCTATTCTCTATTGTTCTGTATTCCATTCCATTCCATCCCTCATTTTTGAATGTCTTTGCAGTTGTTGATACACTAGCCAGCATTTGTGGACTTCAATTTGCAGAATTCCTTTGCTGACATTTGTGTTCTTCAACACCCCGATTTCCCAGCCAATATAATGGCTAAGGAATTCTGGGAGTTGAAGTCCACACATCTTGCTGTTGCTGAGGTTAAGAAACTCTGCATTAGACAACTGGAAAGTTATTTCAAAATAAAGCTCACCTATTATCGATATGGGTTTCCTGGCAAAACGTATCCGCCCTTTGATGCCAACGTACTTGCTTCTGCAACCTGCAGACCAGAGCCTCACCATGTATTCAGCACCAAAAAAGACCACCAAGACAATTTCCTAAAATCAGAAGCAATGATGTTTTTTTAAAACATTCTTTTAAAATAGGCCTTTACATCAGCCAGGCAGAAAGCATTTTATATTTTAAAAAAGTGGCACAATGCCAGGGCTAACCCCTTTCCTCCTTGCCAGCCCCAAGACACCAACTTCCACACCTGTTCTTGGCACTTTGGGGGACACACCTGTCTCCCAACAATTGCTAGAGCCACACCAGCCATCCTGAGAAAACAAGGGGAATTTCAGAAGCCCTGGGGAGGGGGGGGGAGTTTCCCACCAAGAAGAATTACATCGAATAGGAACATTTAGCACATGGCGATACTTGACGCGTTTGTTTGTTCTCTCTGCTTATTCATTACTTAATGAGAAAAGCATGTAATTGTATTGTTCTTCTGAGGTTATCCGGTGTGCCATCACTGAGCTGTTAAAATCAGGATGTGATTTGGCCAAGGGGCACAATCAAGATGGCTTTGTATGAATAATCAATATATTTTGCTTGAATGGCATTTCTTCGATGCCCTACTTACAATGTCCGAGACTGCAATTCCAAGACATTAAAAATTATAATGAATGATCGAAAAGTGAAAGTCAGCTTACCAACTGTAAATGTAAAAAAAAAATCATAAAAGTAATGATTATTGTATTGTTCTTCTGAGGTTATCCGGTGTGCCGTCATTAAAGATGTTAAAATCAGAATGTGACTTGGTCGAGGGGCACAATCAAGAGGGCTGCCTTTTGGCATATTTCAAACAAATCAACACTGACCAGTATCCAAGTTCCAAAACCTTCCAAATTAGGAGTTGGAGGAGGTGGTGGTAGTGATGGAGGAGGACGAGGAGGAGGAGGAGGAGAAGGAGGAGGAGATTGGTAAGGATGTAAATAAACTGGATTCTGTGAATAGTAAATAAGCTGTGGGGATTCACTGACATCTTTTCCAGTACCAGAGCATGTCAAAATAGCAGTTTATGGTATATAATAAATAAATCTGGCCTTTTCTTTTGTTCACTTTTTCATAGAAAAGTCCCAGCTTGTCTGTCCTATGTACAATTTATCTAAATATTTCAAAGTAGATCACTTACCATCCAAAAAAGCGTTCCGGTGGCAAATTCTGCATAATGTTCTATAGTAGACAGAACACTGAAAATTAAACAAACCAGCACCAGCAGAAATCTACAAATTTAAAAGAGAGAGAGAGAGAGAGAGAGAGAGAGAGAGAGAGAGAGAGAGAGAGAGAGAGAGAGAGGAATAACCAAAAAGTTGTCACTCACTTAAAATGATACCTAGCTTTCTCCTCTTTTAAGCAATATTTATTTATTTATTTATTTATTTTATGAGACTTATATACCGCTTTAAGTGCGAGCACTCTCTAAGCGGTGTACACCAGTAAGCAATGTATATATATAGATTTACATTGCCCCCAACAATCTGGGTCCTCATTTTACCTACCCCGGAAGGATGGAAGGCTGAGTCAACCTTGAGCCGGTGAGATTTGAACCGCTGACCTGCTGAACACAGTCAGCTAAAGTAGCCTGCTCAACCCTTATCAACCAAAAGTCCAAACTTCCCCACATCTGTGGCGCTGATGAAATTATCAAGTAGGATAATGAAATGTGTGCAATTCCACGAGTTGAAGTCCACGAGTCATAAAAGAGCCAAGGTTGCCTACCCCTGGACTAGACAGTTTTATAAGAGACTGGAAACCGTTTGTGGACTTCCTACGTTCTAAATACAATAACAGATGGTTAACAGAGGGATTTGAAGATCAGTGTAAGGTTTAGCTCAACCAGCTTTTTTTTCTATGGTTGTTTTAACACGGAGTTATCATGTTTATATACGTACATAAGGACTTCCTGTACTCAAATTGCACTTTGATATTAACTATGCAAAGCTTTGTTTCAGTTTAATATTTTTGATCTGTATTTTTAAGAATAGATTTCTAGATAGCACATTGGGGTCAACATCAGAAACACCAGCAGAATTTCTAAGGTTTCAAATTGCAGCTCAAGATACCTTGCTATCAAAGATAACAGGCACCAGTTAATAGAGTGATATTGTGGAAAGTTCTTTCCTAAATGGTTTGCTATCAGCCACCAAGATAGCGGCTGCATTAAGCAGCCACATCCTCCAGTTCAAACATGGATGCAATTAAAAAAAACATCTCACTCTCCCGGCAATTAGGAAGTGTATCTTTGTGTGTTTTGTAATTCTGTAAATCACGGCCCTTAAAAATATGGTCCGACCACTTGCTGATCACTTAATGATGACCAAAAAGCAACAGTTGGAATGTGAAATACCCCCAAGATTCAAAATTGGGAAACCAGGGTTACATCTGAGCACGATGCACATTTAGCTTACGTTCACAGAACACAGAATATAGAATCATAGCATTGGAAGGGACCCCCAGAGATCATCTATTCCAACTCCCTGCTTGAGGCAGGAGAGCTTATTTCATCTTGGTCAAAGTGTTGTCCCATCTGTTTTTCAAAACCTCTAGTGATGGAGCACCCACAACTTCGGGACGCAAGCTAGTTCATTGATTAATTGTTCTCACTGCCAGAAAAATTCTCCTTCCTTCTAAGGTTTGATCTCTGTTTAACAAGCATTCAGTGTATCTATCATGAGGCTGGTTGGATAGAAAGTGGGAAAGGACATTAAAAATTGCTGGGATTGGGTATGTCTAGTTTAATGAAGAGAAGGGCGAGGGGGGACAGGATAGCACATTTCAGCATTTGAGGGGCTGCCCCAAAGAAGAGGGAGTCAAGCTATTCTCCAAAGCGCCTGAAGGCAGGACGAGAAGCAACGGATGGAAACTCACCAAGGAGAGAAGCAACCTAGAACTAAGGAGAGATTTGCTGACAGTTAGAACAATTAACCAGTGGAACAACCTGCCTCCAGAAGCGGTGAATGCTCCAACACTGGAAGTTTTTAAGAAGAGACTGGACAGCCATTTGTCTGAAATGGTATAGGGTTTCCTACCTGAGCAGGGGGTTGGACTAGATGACCTCCAAGGCCCCTTTCAATTCTATTATTATTATTATTGATCATCGCACAGTCAGCCAGATGTTCAGACTGGATTTGGCATTTTGTCTACCTATCGAGTCCTTACCCAGGACCTGGGATAGGCAGATGTGGATGTTTGATGGTTGTTTTTTTATTATTATTATTATTATTATTATTATTATTATTATTATTATTATTATTATTATTATTGATCATCGCACAGTCAGCTTATTATTATTATTATTATTATTATTATTATTATTATATATTTGTAGCTTAGGTTTGAATGATGAGCTCCTTGGTGCTCTACTGAGCTTGGATATTTTCTTGCAGACATTTAATTACCCAACTAGGTAACATCATCAGTGCATAAATCAGTTGAAGCATATTGCTGTGAAAGCTGGTATCAAAAAGGCCAAATAAAGAAAAGGTTTTGGAACTATGATGTGGAAAATACCTCCGACCATAACAGGAACATCTATTTTGGGAGAGGCAAGGGCACAGCACTACAGATATGGTGTTTTTTTTTTACTAAAAACGACAAAAAAAATACTTTATTTCCCTAAATGCAATGTTGTTGTATTTTGATTCAAACTCCGATGGATAAAATAACTGAATTTTGAACGAACCAATGCAAATTGTTGGCCTCCTTATCTATACACATACATCCAAACACAAAATAAAAAGGGAGGCCAGGAATGTAAACTCCCTTTTGTGGACTTCTGAGAAAAAAAACCGTTTTGAATAATTGACCAGCTAGGAAAGTGGGTGAGATATTTGATCCTGCTTGCTTCCTTAAAGGATATTTTAAGACATGAAGGCATTCAATGGTGCACAAGAGCAACTGTGAGGGAAATCATTAGAGTTGCCATGGCAAAGAGGTTCCATCCCATGTCTTGACTTCTTTTTTCCTACCATGATCCTTCCATTTAGTTTGGAGTTCTCCTGCACGACACATTTTCATTTGAAAATCCCACAATGAATTGATTTACATCTGATTAGCCATATCCTATTTGACTACAATGAGAGATAGTAGTATCAAATAAATCAGTTGGATTAGCTTTGTGAATATATATGTCTCTCTCTGTGTGTGTGTTATGTACATACGTATACACACACACACATATATATATATATATGTATACATATATATATATACACACACATATCTATCTATCTATCTATCTATCTATCTATCTATCTATCTATCTATCTATCTATCTATCTATCCCTATCCCTCTCTCTCTATCTATCTATCTATCTATAGATATATGTCTTTGGTTATTCAGGTTTTCTCCCGCGTAAAATTGGAAGTGTCTTGGCGACGTTTCGACGAAGTCCCATTCGTCATCTTCAGGCTGGTGTTTTCAGCTTCGTGCTTTGAGGAGCAAGCACAAAGCTGAAAACACCAGCCTGAAGATGACGAATGGGACTTCGTTGAAACGTCGCCAAGACACTTCCAATTTTACGCAGGAGAAAACCTGAATAACCAAAGTCCTACATACAAACACCCGCGAAAACCTCAGAAAACATATAGATATAGATATATATCTCCTATAGACCTCTTCACATACAAGGGAAGGAAGACCCACCTATGAAGGGGTAATCCTTGGCAATATAATCACAGAAAGATCCGTGTCTCGATCCTACCATTGTGAGAAAACTGGGTGGCGATGAAAGAGGAAAAACAAATATATTTAAGAAACTTTGAATCCACAGTGTCCCTGACACGGCTGCCTCTGCTTAACGTGGTCCATTGGTGATGGATGGACGTTTTGGAAACTGGCCCAGGAATGCAACACCTGACCTCCTAAAAGCCTGCTTGCTCGCGCTCATTATTTGGGACCTATTGCAGATAAAGCCACTTATCTCCGTCCTTGTTCAGGCGCCATTGTTTTGAGAGACAGGAAGGAAAAGAAAAGTCTACTGGTCTCGTTCTTAGACACATCTTTCAACTTGTGTAGCTTGAAGAGGCGTACAATGCTTGGGCAACTGAGATGAGACAAAAATGTAGGTTCTACATTTAGGCAAGAAAAACCAAGTGCCCAGGTACGGTGTAGGAGGTGGTACCTGGCTCAATAGTAGCAACTGTGGGAGGGAACTCAGAGTCCTAGTGGATAATCCCTTAAACAGGAGCCAGCCGTGTGCTGCAGCTGCCAAAAAAGCCAACACAGCACTAGGCTGAATTAACAGACAGATAGAATCAAGATCACGACAAGTGTTAATACCACTTTACAAGGCCTTGGTAAGGCCACACTTGGAATACTGCATCCAGTTTTGGGCACCACGATGTAAAAAAGAGGTTGAGACTCTAGAAAGAGTGCAGAGAAGAGCAACGAAGAGGATCAGGGGACTGGAGGCTAAAACATACAAGGAACAGTTGCTGGAATTGGGTGTGTCTAGTTTAACGAAGAGAAGGACGAGGGGGGACATGATAGCAGCATTCCAGTATCTCAGGGGTTGCCCCAAAGAAGAGGGAGTCAAGCTATTCTCCAAAGCACCTGAAGGCAGGACAAGAAGCAATGGATGGAAACTAACCAAGAAGAGAAGCAACCTGGAACTAAGGAGAAACTTCCTGACAGTGAGAACAATTAACCAGTGGAACAACCCGCCTCCAGAAGTGGTGAATGCTCCAACACTGGAAGCTTTTAAGAAAAGACTGGACAGCCATTTGTCAGAAATGGTATAGGATTTCCTGAGCATGGGGTTGTTCTGACTGTTGCAATTTAGAAAATGTTTACAAGATTAAACATTCGTAAGAAACTAAAAACTGGGTACTTACACTGTGAAATGGTAAATGAAACATTTCCATCCCGTCGGCCTTTCCAGGAAATTGTACACATTTCCTTGCATGCTCGTTTTTGCTAAACGTCGCCCGTAAAAGCGTTTGGGAGTGTAGGCTTGTTGAGCCTCGTTGCGTCCTCTAGATTCACTATGGATCTGGAAAGCAGAATCCGCTGAATTGTCCTCTCCAGGACCTGGAAGAATCTTTGATCCATTGGTCACCAGTGAATCTGGATCAGGAGCCACAGGAGAATATTCCATATTGTTCAAGTCTGTCTGCGATTCTAGCCAATTTGTGGCCTTTTGGGGGCCATTGAGTTTCCCCACCTGAGGACTGGCACTCGTGGACAAGGGGCACCGGGGGTGTCCACCCGTTTCACCATTAGCATAGGACATTCCGCAGTCAGGTCAAGGCTCGTCCCCTTGATCAACCTTTAAGACAGCCAGAAGCAGGGCAAAACCTGGCTGCTCCTTGGGGATCCCAACCCAGCATTCTTGTCAAATTCTTCCACAGCGCCCTTAAATCTGTTGTCAGGAGGCTGAAAGTAAAGCATGAGATTTAGATACTGGAAGGTGAGACAAATAGATGGGTGGTTTCAAAAAGGGAGAAGCGTTCATGCCCAGCTGCCAAAAACAATTTACAATATAATAGAATAACCAAGTTAAAAGGGACCTTGGAGGTCTTCTAGTCCAGCCCCCTGCTCAAGCAGGAGAACCTGTACTGTTTCAGAGAAGTGGCTGCCCAGTCTATTGTGGTCATGGGTTGAGGACTGCTTGGGTGGCATTTTGTTTACGAAGGACCAGTTTCCACAGAAATGTCCACCAGTGGATCAAAGTCAAGATAGAATAGAATAGAATAGAATAGAATAGAATAGAATAGAATAGAATAGAATAGAATATAGAGATGAGAGAAGAGAAGAGAGAATAGAATAGAATTACAGAATAGAACAGAACAGAACAGAATAGAATAGAGCTGGAAGGGACCTTGGAGGTCTTCTAGTCCAGCCCCCTGCTCAAGCAGGAGAACCTGTACTGTTTCAGAGAAGTGGCTGCCCAGTCTATTGTGGTCATGGGTTGAGGACTGCTTGGGTGGCATTTTGTTTACGAAGGACCAGTTTCCACAGAAATGTCCACCAGTGGATCAAAGTCAAGATAGAATAGAATAGAATAGAATAGAATAGAATAGAATAGAATAGAATAGAATAGAATAGAATATAGAGATGAGAGAAGAGAAGAGAGAATAGAATAGAATTACAGAATAGAACAGAACAGAACAGAATAGAATAGAGCTGGAAGGGACCTTGGAGGTCTTCTAGTCCAGCCCCCTGCTCAAGCAGGAGAACCTATATCATTTCTAGCCTCTTCTTAAAACCCTCCAGTGATGGAGCACCCACAGCTTCTGAAGGCAGGCTGTTCCATTGGTTAGTTGTTCTCACCATTAGGAAATTTCTCCTAAGTTTTAGGTTGGTTCTCTCTTTGATTTAGTTTCCATCCATGGTTTCTTATTTTGCCTTCTGGTGCTTTGGAAAATAGACATGATGTATATATTCCCATCCATTATCTACCAAGCTTTCATAACTAAGATATTCCTCAACGCCTAGAGTGGCTCAACAAATAATTAAAATAGACATCCAATAAGATTTAATTCCAAATGGACCAAAAGGTTCAGAGATCATGTTCTACATATTTCCTTGTTAGACCACCCAGATGCTTAAGTGGACAGGTTAAAATATAAATTTAACGCAGCAAACGGGCATTCAGACCTGAAAACAGCTGTTCCTTCTCAGTGTCCTTTTAGTGATATAGTTGGCATTGCTGCAAGCTAACCTGGAAACAACCTTAAAATTTAAAAAGCAAGCCAGACATCTTTCAGTGATGTTAACTATTCACTTTACATTTCATATGAACGCAGGCTGCTCAGATTCACCTAGTCAAAGTTATACAAAAAAATTAAACCACAATTTAATTCGCAATTTAATTTAAAAGTGTCTAATATTTGAAATATTTATATAAATATAATGGCATCCTTGAAAATATATAAGATATTTCTGGGCATGTGCTCCCTGTTTTAATTACTGCAAAGATATACACTTTTTCTCTCAGTTTATAAAACAATTGTCATCATCGATATGCTATGATTTGACAGCAGCTTCTGATGACTTGCAAGTCATTTTGTTAGTGGGATTTTTTCGATATCCAATTCAATTAGGGTAGGAAATATTTCCCCACATCCACCGATTCAATATGGCCTATTAATCTTTCACAGATTGGTAAAAACTTAGATATCAAACATCTTCCCCAGTGTTATTCACCTGTCCCCAAAGCCATAAGGCATATTTTTTTCCCTTTCTTTGGAAAATTATTTTGCCTTATATATTCCCATCCATTAATATTTAACTGTAGTATGACAAAATATACGGTTTATCTCAAAACACAACTAAAACTGGCGCCTCAACTACGATCTATCCAATCTTTCCCAGAGTGAATAATTTTGAATTAAATTTCACAATCTCTCCTTTCGTAAATGGGACGATTTCAAGACAACATTTCAAACTGGAATCCCTTGTCAAAACATGCCAACTTCCAGATATTGTTCTGCATTGAACAGAAATATTTTTAGAAGTTTCGGACTGTTCCCCCTTGCCACTCCACTTACCCTTTTTTTTGTCACGCATTCTCACGGCGCCCACTAAATACATCCAGTTCTGTGTGTAAGTCAAGATTTCCACTGCAGGGAAGAGCCCAAGAGCAGTTATTTTTTTTATCCCTGACTTAAAATTTATTTCTTCCGGAGGATGAATTGATAAGGGAGCAACCAGGCTCCCTTTATTCCAAAACCAATTTTCATCAACATTATTTTACGAGCAGTGGGTTTTCTCATAGGAAAAGCTTCTGCAAATTCACCCTTCAGATATCAACCTAGACAAAGCCCCAACCACCTGGGAACTAGGAATACCTTCTCCTGTTGCATGTTGCTATTTTCTCTCTGCTCCATCTGGTCTCACCCAAGACTATGGCTTTGTCCTCCGGCTGAGAGAGTCCCACCCTCAGACATCCACAGGTCCTCCCCTCCGTTTCTCTTGCTGGAGTTGGTTTGGCTCAAAACCAACTGGGCACTTGTCCAGTCTAATGGGGTTTTATCTCTTGAGTTCCTGCTAGCACCTCTTTTGATCCAGCAAGTTCAGAACAAGTGGACATGATAGCATCTTCTTACCTCCGCTGAAGACAGATGTGGCGCTTGCCAAGCCTGGATGAAACTAATCAAGGAGAGAAGCAACCTGGAACTAAGGAGAAACTTTCCGACAGTGAGAACAATTAATCAGTGGAACAGCCTGCTTCCAGAAGCTGTGAATGCTCCAACACTGGAAGTTTTTAAGAAGAGACTGGACAGCCATTTGTCCAAAATGGTGTAGGGTTTCCTGCCTGAGCAGGGGGTTGGACTAGATGACCTCCAAGGTCCCTTCCAACTTTACTACTATTACTATTACTATCCCATCTGGGGAAGTGCAGAGAACTAAGAGAGCTACTGAAACTTAAGCAGAACTTTGACAAGTTTTGTGCCTGAACTTCAGCCACCGCTTACAATGAGGGAAACATCTGTTCTGGAGCCTCTGCGCTGAGAATAAGAACACAAATTTACAAGCGTAAGTGGGAATATTTTTGTCATAGACTAGCTGTGCATATTTGCTCGCAACATATTTCCTGATTCCCTTCTCTTTCTCTCTGCCCTAGGGTAGAAAACTAAAAAAAAAAAAAAAAATCTTTGTATTTTCTTTCCTAAAATGTTGGCAACTCTGTGTTTTCAAGGACATTTGTTTTCTGGTGTGTGGGACACCCTGGTTTTCTGGGACCTAAAGGGTTTTAGCTACTGAAGCCTAATTTTCCATTTCAGACCACATCTGCTTCAAACTGAAAGGATAAATGGAACCGCCTTCCTAAGATTTTAATGGTTAGAATTTAGTTGACTATGGAGACTACAGCATTTTGGATTTTCAAAGCACGACGGATGAAATAGTTGTTTATATGTGGCACTGCTTATGAGGTTAGAACAAAGAGAATTCGTAAGTGGTAAAATCAAATTGATCTTGAAAATGCAGAATTCTTTTCTGTCCTACAGAGAAGACAAATGTTACAAGCATGAGGATTCCTAAGTCCCCTCCTGTCCGTAGAATATATATATAAAAAAACACGACTGGAAGGGTCATTGGAGATCTTCTAGACCAGCCCCCTGCTCAAGGCAGGAGCCCTGTACTATCCCAGTCAAATTGGACAATCGGTTGCCTGAAATGGTATAGGGTTTCCTGCCTGAGCAGCGGGTTGGACTAGAACAGAGCTCCCCAACCTTTTGGGCACCAGGGACTGATGCCATAGAGAAAGGTTTTTCTGTGGACCAGACGGTGTGTGGTTTTGAATACTGCCTGCATCCCAAGGATGGAGCTGTGCTTATTTGTGCGGCCCGTTTGCTGACATGCTGCGGACTGGTGCTGGTCCATGGACTAGGGGTTGGGGACCCCTGGACTAGAAGACCTCCAAGGTCCCTTTCTATTCTATTGTGTTCTATTCTATTCTATTCTATTCTATTCTATTCTATTCTGTTCTGTTCTGTTCTGCTCTGCTTTACTTTATTCTATTGTGTTCTATTCTATTCTGCTCTATTCTATTGTGTTCTATTCTACTCTATTGTGTTCTGTTCTATTCTACTCTACTTTATTCTATTGTGTTCTATTTTATTCTATTGTGTTCTATTCTATTCTGCTCTATTCTATTGTTCTATTCTATTCTACTCTATTGTGTTCTGTTCTATTCTATTCTACTCTATTCTATTCTGCTCTATTCTATTGTGCTCTATTCTATTCTACTCTATTGTGTTCTGTTCTATTCTACTCTATTGTGTTCTATTCTATTCTATTCTATTCTATTCTATTCTATTCTATTCTATTCTATTCTACACTCTACATTACTCTACTCTACTCTATTCTAACCTTCAGGGATGGAGCTCCCACAACTTCTAGAGGCAAGCCATTCCATTGTTGAATTATTCTCCCTGTCAAGAAATTTCTCCTTACTTCTACATAATACTGTATTTCATCAGTCGCAAAAGAAGTGAGTAGACACGTACCTAAATTGGTGTACCGAAGACACCGTACACTTGTTCCTTGTTGAACCTGATAAAAGAAGATAAGAATCACTGGTTGCAGTATTAGGTGTGTTCTTATTGAAGAGCTATCAAGTGTCAATCGTAGGAAAGGTTTCGAACCACAAGACAATATAAATTCTTGTATGCTGGCCTGGGACTGTTACCTGATTCCACAATCAATTATACTGAGTGCCCTTGTATGGCCTGGGCAGGTTAGTTTCAATCATTATTAATGTGCTGGAAAAAAAGACACACACACATACACCCTGCTCCCCCATAACCTTTGATGATACGAAGGTTGTAAACTCTCATCATGAATTATACAAGGAAATGGAAAGAAAAGGGAGCTTTTTTTAAAAAACAAGCCTATTCAACAGCTGCTTTCTTTTTAAAAATCTCCTACTACAAGTATCTCACACTCCAATTAAAGGAAGCGTATTTATTATTTATTCCTCTAAAAGACTGATAAATCATCCTGCAGAATAGAACTTCCCAAAGTGGTGCAGAACAAAAGCAGATCCATAAAAAAGGAATCCAAAATTGCCTTTTTAAGAAAGTTACACCCTGCCGGTCTTTTACAGATGCGGTGGATTAGCACTCTTCACTACAATTCATAAAGCATCTGAAAAATGGGCGAGACTGGACAGGTGGACACAGGTCCTTGCGCCCATAAAAATACTCTTTGATAGGTAGAGCTAATCCTGGTGTAGCAACTATAGTGACCATTTGCAGTTACAATGGTATGGAAAAAATAAAAATAATCATTCCTCACATTTCATAGGTCTGAAAATCAAAGGAAAGCTGAAGTAAAATCATAAGCACAGTTGTGATATCACATAGCAACTGCTTTGCTGGTCCCGGTTGAGGTTATTAAACAAGAGCTACTTGTGACAAATTTATACTACCTGCATTCAGTTTTCTTTTGTTCATCTCTGTGTTAATACATTGAATGTATCTCTGGGTCCAAGAAATGTGGGCAACCTTAGGTTAGCCTGTCACTTTCAATTAGCAATCCTTTCTTAAGCTGGTTAATGCAATCCTAGAAACTAAAAAGGCAAAAAACATAATAAATCATGCCACATGGCTGCAGAACTCTACAACCAGCTGTAAAAACAAACTGGTGGCTAAAAGCTCAAAATGTGCTCACGTGGCTGTGGGTGCGGGCGCCGAATTGTGGACCTGGGTTGAAAATACTTTTGAGGAAATGCACTGTAACGTCAAACAGTCACTAAGCAACGTGTTGTTAGGAGAAGACTACAGGTTGTCAATTTACGACAATTGAACTCAACATTTCTGTTGCTAAGCGAGACGATTGTTATGCAAATTTTGTCCCATTTTTATGACCTTCCCTGCTACTGTTTTTAAGTGAATCACTACAGAAGTCTATAACACGGTTGTTAAGTGGATCTAGCTTCCCCATTGATTTTGCCCATCAGTAGGTCACAAAACGGGATCACATGACCCGGGCCAGGACACTGTAGAATTGTCATAAAAGCTTGTTGTTATGTCTGTTGATTTAGGGAAAATGTCTGATTAAGTCAGTGGTTCTCAACCTTTTTAATGCCACGACCCCCAACCGGTCGTAAGTCGAGGACTACTCAACCGGTCGTAAGTCGAGGACTACTCAACTGGTGCAGCACCGTTTGCAGAATGGGACTTTTGGCGGGCTCAGCAGGGCAGAGACAGCCTGGACAATTCCTATTGGCTTTTGAAAGCCAATAGAATTAGACTCTATTCGAGAGAGTCTATTCTATTGGCTTTCAAAAGCCAATAGAATCAAAGGGAGGAGCACAGCTAAGGAAAAGGGGGGAAAAAATGGCGGACTGCGTTGTTTGGCAACCCCCGTGAAATGGTCGGTCGACCCCAAATGGGGTCCCGACCCACAGGTTGAGAACCACTGGATTAAGTGAATTGATGCACAGAATTTTTGGATGTTGTAACATGTAGCCGCTGTTTTTTGGCCCGGTCAGAAGTCTTGTAAATGGAACATTTCACAGATAGCTCAGCCTTGAGGGGGCAGTAAAGCAAGAGCGGGTGGCTTCCCCAAATTGTTTAATGGGGTTATAGATAAGTGCGTTAGGAATGTTTCCGGTGACTTTGGAAGTGCATGGATAGGGACAGAATGGGAGTGTGCTTTTGGGTGCAAAGGATGCATAATTGGTGGCGGGCATATTCTGGCTTCTCTTCCATCACTTTGCATCCTTGCTTATCCCAAATGGAATAGTAGTGTGATGCGTGCGCAGGCGTGAACGCACATCCTTTTTTGTACCTTTGTTTCGCAGAAATACAACGTACCATTTGTCTTCATTTCCTCATAAATATTTGAAAAAGGAAGGTCTCTTTGGACCCTGCTGTTTTCAGGAGAGAAGATGGAGACACTCTATTTTTTTCAACCTTCCCTCCAGCTTGCAGGGCGCCCATCCAGAAGTCTGCCTGCCTTCTCCAGGTCGCCCGCTTGATTCTAAACTGCTGCAAGAAAGGAAGCCAACAGCGGAGATTGCGCTCTGCTTCTGCCCGGTGGAGTTGTGCTCTGCAGAGGATTTGCAGAGCTCTTGCAAGCTGCCTCCCAACCTCCGCTGTGCTGGTTGCAGCAGCAACAGCAGCAGTCGAAGTGTGTTACAAGCCACAGAACAGGACACAGAGTTGAAGTTCGGAGAAATGGTTGGGCTTCTTCTCTTTCACAAAACTAAACGGAATTTGAAAACGAAAAGGGAATTCAGCCAATTGGCCTTGAGCTCAAGGCCTGAATTGTGCATGCAAAATATTCCGAGTTCGGCTAGGCTGTGAGCATTACTTTCCAAGGTTATCTAAGGTCACCCATTTTGCAAAATACACACCCTTGTTTGAAAGCAAGGTCTCCTTTGACCCTCCAGGTACCTTCTGCTCCCTGAAATAATGGCCTGGCAATTCCACGCACGGCTCTTTGCTCTGCTCTCATTGCAACCCTTCTTCGAAACCACTCTTTCGTGAATTTTTTTAATGCATTCGTAAAAGTGTGATTTGTTTATGAAAATACTCATAAAATGAATGAATATTTTACAAATACTTCACAACATGAATGTATTCATTCATAAATATTTGTAAAAGGGTGATTTATGAGTATTTTGTGGATAGCCACTTGTCTGAAATGGGATAGGTCAGGGGTAGGCAACCTTGGCTCTTTTATGACTCGTGGACTTCAACTCCCAGAATTCCTGAGCCAGCACAGCTGGCTCAGGAATTCTGGGAGTTGAAGTCCACGAGTCATAAAAGAGCCAAGGTTGCCTACCCCTGGGATAGGTTCTCTTGCTTGAGCAGGGGGCTGGACTAGAAGACCTCCAAGGTCCCTTCCAGCTCTATTCTGATTGATTGATCTCCGGGCAGGAACTCTCGGCGGCCCTGGTGGGCATGTGCCTGCTCTCCTTCAGTGCGATGCCCGCAACGGCCACTGGATTACGGCAAGAGCAGCGCTCGTCAACCTAGGCCGCTGGATGGCACGTGGACTTCAATTCCCAGAATGCCTGCAGAGGACACTATCCTCCCCGTCGAGGCCTCTGCGCAGGCGTAGTAGGTGACGCCACGGGCCATCTCCCTGCGCGGGCGCCGCGATGACGTCATCACCCGCTGCGCCGGGCAAAGATGGCGCTGGCCTGGCGGAGATGCCCGGCGCTGTGGCGGCGGCAAGCGAGCCCTGCCGGATACGCGACTCTTGGAGGAGGTAGGCCGAGAGGCGAGCGAGCGAGCTCCCCGCTTCTCTCCCGGGTGTCGCGGAAGGGAGCCCAGTTTGCCCCATCCTCCCTTTGTCTTTCAGGCTCCGCGCAGCCGCAGAGGAGGGGCGGCCCGAAAGAGAGCCCGGCTGAACGCAGAGCCCAGAAGGAGCTGATCTACGTAAGTTGCGGAGGGAGGGTGTCCTCACGTCGCAAAGGGGCGGGGCTGGCTGTTCTGGTCCTCGCTCACCCCCCCTGGCTTTAAAAAGTGGCCTGACAGGTGGTTGGGGAGCCAAAGGATAATTGATGAATGGTGTGAAAAATGCATATATGGGAAATATTCATAACTTAATGCAGGATGCTCAGAGCAGCAAATAATGTTATTAAAAAGAGTATATGGCAAATGTGAAGAATATACACTAATTCGAGCAGGAGGCTGGACTAGATGACCTACAAGGTCCCTTCCAACTGTATTTCTATTCTATTCCATTCCATTCTACAATCTATTCTATTCTATTCTATTCTACAATCTATTCTATTATCTATTCTATTCTATTATCCTATTCTATTATCTATTCTATTATCTATTCTATTCTACAATCTATTCTATTTTCTGTTTTATTCTATTCTACAATCTATTCTATTCTATTATCTATTCTATTATCTATTCCAGTGTTTCTCAACCTTGACCATTTTAAGGCATGTGGACTTCAACTCCCAGAATTCCACAGCCAGCATTGCTGGCTGTGGAATTCTGGGAGTTGAAGTCCACATGCCTTAAAATGGTCAAGGTTGAGAAACACTGCTCTATTCTATTCTACAATCTATTCTATTGTCCTATTATCTATTCTATTATCTATTCTATTCTACAATCTATTCTATTCTATTCTATTCTATTCTACAATCATTCTATTCTAGTCTATTCTATATCACAAAATTAAATTGTTGTAGTTCAAATCATCCTCTGGAAAAGAGAAGACCGCGTTCAAAGTACAAATAAAAAGAATCATGGTTGGTGCATATGCAAGTAGGTGGGGCAGATATTGCAATCGGTGCCTTATGCTGAGATTTTTCTCCTTCAACGTCCCTCAGGGCAACAGTCAAAGGTCTGAGAAGATGGACCCTGACCAGGACTGGACAAGCGTCTATCCAACCGCAGCATCTTTTAAACCGTCTGCTGTGCCCCTTCCAATTCGGATGGGCTACCCAGTCAGAGGAGGGGTGGCCCCTGCAAAGGAAGGCAACTTGGAGCTTTTGAAGGTGAGATTCGGGGCTGACGACGTTAATATCCAGATCCCGAGTCTTTTAGGAAGCATAACTGGGGGCCTTGGCGGAGAGAACAAGTCCTTAGAACAAACTCAGATAATGATGCGAAAAATACCCTTCTCTTGAGACTCTTAAGATAACTGCAGGTTTGTTGTAAGTATTAGCACTGATTTAGGAACTTATCCATTCTGGGCTATAATCTGGAATGTTGGGTAGTTTTGCTTGGGTGAGGAAAGCTGGAGACTTGTTCCTTCAGATTGTTTGGAGGATTTGTGACAGGAGCTTGTTGTACTTGAATAAATATTGAAAAAAAAAAGCTTCATATCGCCTGAGTTTAATCTGAAGACCCAGCTTTAAATGACTAATGAGCAGCAGAAGCTCAGCCACTTTGAGCCAGCTGTATTCAGTCAACTTCATCCCTGTTGGGAACAGAGCAACAAGTCAACTACCCTATCCTAGAATTCTTGTCAGAGAAATAGAACCTAATCCTAATAAATCCTTATAAATAAACTTCCACGGAGAACAGGGTAGACTAAAGACATTTCTGCGAAGTGCAGGCATGACATTGAAACATTAATTGACAGCCAGGTGGGGTAGATCCGCACCTGGAACAAAGGGAGTTGCTTCAGATCAAGAGGAAAGCTAGAGGTTGCTCATTTGATTCTCTCAGGTGGCTCCAAAGCAGTGTTTCTCAACCTTGACCATTTTAAGGCATGTGGACTTCAACTCCCAGAATTCCACAGCCAGCAGTGGAATTCTGGGAGTTGAAGTCCACATGCCTTAAAATGGTCAAGGTTAGAAACACTGCTCCAAAGGGATCCTGCTGCAGTCTTTCGACTCTTGAGCCCCTAAGAAGCAAAAGGTTCAAGTTCTGTGCTACAAAATGAGATTGCTAGTCACTAGGATCTGAAGTCCACAGACATTAAATTGGCTGGAGTTGAGAAAAACTGCTCTAGCTGGAACCAGACTATGCAAAGAGATGCGCACTTGGGCCACTTCAGTTTTATAAACGGAATAGGTTGTAGGAGGGAAGAAAATCAGTGGGGCAGTCAGAGTCTCCTGGATGGTTGTAGGGATTGTGCCTGCAGCCTGAAGGAGGCATAGATCCGACCCCACCCCCTGCACACCTCCGATGGCCAGCTCACAGGCTGATTTTAATGAGACGTCTTCCTTCCAGATTCCCAATTTCTTGCATCTGACGCCAGTTGCCATCAAGAAACACTGTGCAGCTTTGAAAGGTCAGTCTTAATTTTCATTTTTTTTCAACAATGAAGCTTAGCAGAGACACTGGGAAAGAGCTAGCTGTTTTGGGTCTTCTTAAGATCTGACTTAACGTTAAATCAAATGCAGTACTTCTAGGGTTATAATGGGTTTTAGACAAAGGATGTGACAGAAAAAGGAATCTTTAACAAATCACTTCTATTTAAATTAGTGACTTTGGGGATAGAACTATGAAGTGCTTTTTTTCAGAATGGAGGCCATGTATAACTCAGGATCAAGATGTCTACCATGTGGTGATGCTGCTATTGAGATTAGATAGATAGGATAGATAGATGGATGATTGGTAGATAGATAGATAGATAGATAGATAGATAGATAGATAGATAGACAGACAGACAGACAGACAGACAGACAGACTGACTGACTGACTGACTGACTGACTGACTGACTGAGCATACACACCCAAACTAGGTAACATCATCACTGTTATTATCATCATCAGTCACTGATGATGTAACCTAGTTTGGGTAATGAAACATCTGCAAGAAAACCACCAAGCTCCGAGAGCACCAAGGACCCCACAGTTCAACCTTGAGCTACACATATTCTCCTTTATTTATATTTATATTTGTGCATGTGGGTGTGTATATATAGAAAAACAGTTGGAAGGTACCTTGGAGGTGTGTGTGTGTATATTTGTATATTTCACACAATGTCCTCTGAACATCTATTTCCTTTTCAGTTTTTTTAATAACCCCCTGAACCAATTTTTATGTTGATAAGTGTTTATGGGGGGGGGGGTAACCTTAGCATCAGTGAATGCAGACTGTGCAATCGTGAGCATTGTTAAAATTATGTCTGTGCTTTCCTTCCACCTTGGGTGCTTCAGACTTCTGCACAGAGTGGCCCTCTGCCCTGGATAGTGACGAGAAATGTTTGCAGCACTTCCCAATTGAAATCAGCACCACTGACTATGTGTCAGCAGGGCCCTCCCTTCGCAATCCTAAAGCAAGAGTGGTGACTTTAAAAGTAAGTTGAAGGGTGGGTTTTGGGTTGCAGTTTGGGTACTCGGTCTCTAAAAGGTTCACCATCACTGTTCTATTCTATTCTTATATTATTCTATTCTATTTTCTATTCCAGTATTCTATTCTATTCTATTTTCTAGTCTAGTCTAATATTCTATTCTATTTTCTATTCTATTCTATTTTCTATTCTATTTTCTATTCTATTCTATTCTATTCTAATATTATTCTATTGTATTCTATTTTCTATTCTATTCTAATATTATTCTATTCTAATATTATTCTATTCTATTCTATATTCTATTCTATTCTATTCTATTCTATTCTATTCTATTCTATTCTATTCTATTCTATTCTATTCTGTAATCCTATCCCATCCCATCCCATCTATTCTAGTCTAGTCTAGTCTAGTCTAGTCTAGTCTATGGCTGGCTCAGGAATTCTGGGAGTTGAAGTCCACAAGTCATAAAAGAGCCAAAGTTCTCCACCCCTCTCATAGGGTCATGTTGTGGAAGGAGGGGGGAGAAACAAGGGAGCACAAGGTGATTCTGAGGAAAAGGCTGAGATTTACAATTAGCAAAGAAATAAGTGGAAATGGCAAGCCTTGAGGTCCCTTGATCTCTTCACAAATAGGTTTGTCTCTGGGGGACTGTTTAACACTTAACTCAGGGGTCTTCAAACTTGGCCACTTTAAGACTTGTGGACTTCAACTCCCAGAATTCTGGGAGTTGAAATCTGCAAGTCTTAAAATGGCCATGTTTGAAGACCCCTGACTTAACTGATTTGGAAAGAGATATTTTATGTTTTTCAGTGCAATTACTCTTTTGACCTACGATCAAAGTTGCTAATCGCTTGATTTTTTTTTCCCTCTCAGGTTAAACTCTCAAGTCTCAACTTGGATGACCACGCAAGGAAGAAGTTCATCAAACTTGTAGGGGAGCGATACTGTCGGGATACGGATTCCGTTACTATCACCACGGACAGGTAATGTAATGGGAGAACATCCTCTTGGCCCAAAGTGGCAATGCTCAGTGCAGCCGCCCTGCTAAACTCTTGTCCTAGGATTTAAAAACTGCTTCCCCAGATTCTGTGATTCCAAATTATTTTTCATGGTTTGTAACCTAGGAGTTCTAAGTGTATAAATATGATTTCAGTTTACTGTTTTTGGATTCAGTTTTATTTTAAGGCTGGTGAACAAACTAACCTTGTTATTCATATGCTATATAACATGAATGAATGTTGCAGATGCTGGGATTTGGTATAATTCTATTTTTCTTGTTTTTCAGATGTCCCTTTAGGAAGCAAAACTATGATTATGCCATGTACCTTCTAACTGTCTTGTTCCATGAATCGTGGGTAAGAATGTTTGCTTGTATTGTTAGAGCTCTCACTAGTTTAACGGCTCCCACATATTGATGGGGGGAAAGCCACAACAATCCCATGCTTTACAGAGTAGTTTCCTTTTTGGCTAGATAAAATAGCAATAGTTGGATACAGCAAAATGGCTTTAATCCTTTTTATTTTATATAAAGTTTTATTAATTTTTTTAAACAGAATTCAATAATAATTCAACAAAACGTGTTGTCTGAGTATCTTATTCACTAATACAAATTAAATTCCTAATCCCTCAATCTTTTCTCTAACCACTGATAAAATAGGTCCCAAGTTTGAAAATGTTCTGTTTCTTTTTTTTCCTTTCAACCTTAAAGTAAGTCTGTCCATTTCCGCACAGTCTAGTATTTTAATTATTTCTTCTTCTGGTGGCGTTTCTTCGTTCTTTAATCTTTCTAAAGTGCCCAGATCAGAAAGCAGAGGCGTTTAACTTCATTCTGAGAGATCAGATTGATCCATTAGAATTAGGAAGCGGGGCTTGTGAGCCCAATGGGAATCCTAAAATGGACTCTTGAGGAACACGTCACATATTCTGTGCCTGAACATTGCATGAAAAGAGATCTCTGCTCCTGCGTGTTTTTGCTGATCTTGTCATTATGGGATCTGGATTCACAAATATCTAGAAAGCAGTGTGATAACCAATGCTGTAAAATGCCGGAATTGCTTTAACGGTGCTTCTGGCAACCGTGGATTGGATTACTGAGGTCCGTGCTAATTAAATGTTTTAGCATTTTCAAAGCTTAGATAATGAAGTTTTCCTCATTAGCAGGTCTACTTACCTTTCTGCAGCATTCAGACACTGATTCTACACTGGAAGCTCAACAGTTGTGGATACCAATTCCACCTGTGCTCTTGGCTCTAGTATTACCTAGTGATGGAAGACTTGGGTATATGATATGTGAGTGCGTAGTGTGTATTGAGTATACCCAAGTCTCTTGACCTTTTATTACCTTTCAGCTTCCACATGAATACTTAATGGCCACATCAGTTGTAATTGTCTTTGATTTCATGAGAAATTAATGATCTTCTGCAACACACTGCTTTCCCTTTTTCACTGGCGATTCCTCAGATGGAAACCACATTTTTATAACTTCGGGCAACTCTTAATTCACCGATTTTTTTTGAGATGTTCATCCTTAAGAATGTCATTATTTGTCCTACCTGGATAGTGTAGAACAGAAACAAAGGGTGGCATTTAAATCATTGATTAGCCTTAAAACTCATTTAGGTAGAGTAAAGCACAAGATTTTTTTTTTTTAAAAAAACCTGCAATGTAAATCTCTCTGGGAAGAGGTGGGTTTTTCCCCGACAAATGCAGATTTTTGTCCAGATGAACATTTATTTATCACAAGGCTAGCTTAAGTCTATCTGTTCTACCGTAAACCACTATGCTGTACGGCAGTGTTTCTCAACCTTGACAATTTTAAGGCATGTGGACTTCAACTCCCAGAATTCCACAGCCAGCAATGCTGGCTGTGGAATTCTGGGAGTTGAAGTCCACATGCCTTAAAATTGTCAAGGTTGAGAAACACTGCTGTACGGAAACTGCACGATAATTCACCTTTGTGGCTTTTGAAAGGGCTTGAAGCTTGAGTCAAATTCCTGAACTTGAAAACGTAACGTTTACTGCCACCAAGTGGCAAAGGTCAGTTCGTGCATGCATGGAGGTCTTGCAGACATTTGCAGGAGTTGGTTTACTCTGCAGATTATCTGGCAGGCTTGGAAGTCTTAAGTTTACAAAAGGTTAACGTCAGAGGAAGTGAGAACAAGGGGATAGGCCACATTTTCTCAAGGGAAGGTGGAAGATTGGTTTGGATGCCTCTTAAACAGCTTCCAACTCGATTCTATTCTAACGTACGTCTGTGGAGATTCTTAAATCTATCCAGGTCCTGGTTGTCCCCAAGGTGCTTTTTTTGTTTCTTCTTGAAGAGGTTTCGCTTCTCATCCAGGAAGCTTCTTCAGTTCTGGACTGAAGCGCCTTTGGGCCATTGTTAGTTGTGCTGGAATTAAATCTCATTGGAGACTCTTATGAAGACGCTTACGAGTTCCAAATGAGTAAAATAAATGGAAATGCACTGCCATCACTACCCCCAACTCGTAGTGTTTTCATTACAGGCTAAGCAGCAAAGACATCTCACTCAAATCCTACAAGCCATTGAATATGCTTTGGTCTCCTTTTTCTGCAGCACTTCCCAATGGAAAGAGACCTTCTAAGGGTGGGCTATTTAGTCAAGATTTTTAAAAAAAAAATCTCGCTACCAAAATTTAGAACATTACACAGGTTGGGGACACACGGCTTTCCATTCCTGCGAAATGGAGAAGGACACTCAACTTTCAGAGCAGGTTTATTGAACTTCTGCTTAGCTTTGGAGGAGGACCAGGCCCTTTGGAAGACGCTACCCTAACTCTTTGGAATTTGCATGACCGTATTTCTGATCTTTCAGGTTTTTACTCACTGGTCCTGTTTTGTTTTTCAGAAAATAGAACCATGGGAAAAAGAAATTACAGAAGCGGACATGCTGGAGTATGTCTGGGAGAACAGCGCTTCTGAAAAAAACGCTTTGAGGACATTGCTTCAGATAAGAGCAGCTGAAAAAAGTGAAGAAATTAGCAGAGAGGAACTCCTTGCCTCTGAGGTGATGCAGGATTACAAAAAGTCCATGGTTCTCTTGAAAAATGAAGGCGAAACAGAGAAGAATCTTTTGGAATATAAAAACTCGGTTAAGAGACTGTTAAATATCCAGGGCTTGTAAATGTAAGCAGTTATTTTGTGGGATGCTGTATGTATATATATATATATATATACTGGTGGACATAGTCCTAATAAAATTTTTAATACTATCCGGTTGCAAATGAAAATGATCATCTTTCCTCTTCTTTCCGTGCTCCCCAATATATTTCACCCAGAAAATCAACCGACAACATAGTTGTAATTCAAATTTGTGTATATTATTTATTAAATATTTTTGCCACCCATCTACTCTGGGTGGCTTATTCAGTTCATCCTGGAAATTGTCTAAATTCACTTTGCAAAAATACCAGAATTTGCGCAAAAAAGTCAAGGGAAGTGAAAGAATGACTGTGGGAACCGGTTCCTGTTTTAATCATACACCAACATCTTTAACCATCTATTGCCTGTCCTGCTCTTCATTGATTCCCTTTGTTGGCTGATCTTGAAAGAACTAAATTCATATCGGGCCTTCAAAACCCAACTGGAAAATATTGTGTCTCAAAATCAGGGTGGAAAGAAGGGGTCTAAGGAGAACGAACTAAAACACTAGAAGTTAAAAATTATTTTGCAGACATTCAAGAAGAGATTGGAATAGCCTCTTTAAAAAGCATGCCGATAAAAAGAATGCCCCAGGATTCCATTCATCAGCTAGTTTCTTGTGTATTCCTAGATACATTATTCCCCACAGCAAAGAGAAGCAGAGATGGTTAAACTGATTCCTTTATCCAAAGAAGAGAATATACCTAATCTTGTCTCTATTTTGAAATTGCTTCTGGATTTTGTGCTTGCAATGAGAGGAAAAAAAATGAAACTCTGATTCTGTTTTTGTGAACTAGATAGGCTTATTGTTATAGAAATGGCTGTATTGTCTGTGGAAGCTACATTCTGTTCTAAAATGCTTTATGTTTGCTACATAGTAACCAGATATGAGACAGAAAAACATGCTCCCAATTTCAGCTTTATGTCAACTTGTATAATGGTCAGTCGCCACATTTCAACATGATTATGATGGAAATACATTGTCATATCTTCATATGCAAAGATACAGATTCTTTGTGTGTCCAATTACACTTGGCCAATAAAGAACTATTCTATCCTATGTTCTATTCTATTCTATTCTACATTCTATTCTATTCTATTTCATTCCATACTCTATTCCCTATTTTCTATTCTATTCTGTTTTCTGTTTTCTATTCTATTCCTTATTCTATTCATCATTCCTCTATTCTATTCTATTCTATTCCATTCCATTCTGTAATTCTATTCTATTCCCTATTTTCTATTCTGTTTTCTATTCCATTCCATTCCATATTCTATTCTATTCCATTCCATTCCATTCTGTAATTCTATTCTATTCTATTCTATTCCATATTCTATTCTATTCCCTATTTTCTATTCTATTCTGTTTTCTATTCCATTCCATCCCATTCCATATTCTATTCTATTCTATTCTATTCTATTCTATTCTATTCTATTCTATTCTATTCTATTCTATTCTATTCTATTCCATTCCATTCCATTCCATTCCATTCCATCCCATCCCATCCCATCCCATCCCATCCCATCCCATCCCATTCCATATTCTACTCTACTCCATTCCTGATGAATTTGGAATTTGACCATTAAAAACTGCTCTTAACGGCAGAGTATTTTATGAATTGGCTAGGTGCTGATCTTCCTTTCTGCCTTGGTTTATAACGGCGTCTCTTTTTCCATCCTGTTGCCCAAAAGATACCACAACAGCAGCAGCAGCAGCCCGTGAAGGCCATTGAACAAAGTACAGCCAGAGGCCACCAGGCCTCTCCTCCCGCCATCTCCTCTGAGGGCTGCTGGCCTTCATCGTCATCAGACCTGTTGTTCCTTCCACTGTAGAGTTTGGTTTCGTTCAAGGGTTTGCTGTTATTGGGAAGAACCCGGCCAGGCGATAGTGATGCCATCTGGATGGGTGCAGAAGATGCCTTGGCATTACCTGAAGTGGGGGTAGAGCTGTTCCTCCCTGGAAGAATCTCAGCTGCTTCCACCGAATCGTCCATGGTCGAAGCCGTCGCCATTAACGTGATGGCTGAGTTCTTGAGGGCAACATCTACTGCTGAGCTCTGGTTGCTCCTGTCCACACCTGGCTTTGTGGCTGTTGTGGGAGAGGAGGCCTCCGGGAAGAGGAATCTTGTGGAAGATAGTTCATCCTGGTCTAGGCCAGCAACCCGGGCCCTACCATGCCTCTCCCATTTATGAAAAGAAGACCGGGCGTTTATATCTTTGAACGAGAGCTTCTCGAAAACAAGAAGATCAGGATCAACTCCTGAGGAAACCCAAGAAAGAAGAAAGTTTTAATTTTTCTCTCCTCTCATCCAACGATATCTGATCTATAGACTTACCTCCACCAACTTTGCATTGTGCACCAATCCAGTTCCTGGACAAGGGAGGCCCTCCACTCGGTCACTCATGCCCTGGTCATCTCCTGGCTGGACTGTTGCAACGTGTTCTCCATGGGGCTACCCTTGAAAAGTATCCAGAAGCTTCAGCTGGTGCAGAATGCAGCCACATGAGCTATACTGGGTGCCTAAAGATGGGCACATATAACCCCTCTGCTCCATGAACTGCACTGGGTGCCAATTTGCTTCTGGGTCCAGCTCAAGGTGTTGGTTGTGACCTATAAAGACCTACATGGCATTAGGGCCAGGCTACCTATGAACCAGCTTCGCCCCATCACACCAACCTATCCCAAGCGTTGAGGCAGGGAAGGCATGCTACACGCCCTGTGGGTTTTCTTTCTTTCTTTCTTTTTCTTTCTTTCTTTCTTTCTTTCTTTCTTTCTTTCTTTCTTTCTTTCTTCTTTTGTCTCTTTAAAAAAAAGAACATCTTGGTGTTTTGAATTTTAGCTTTCTTTGAATAAACTAAATACTATACAGTAAAAAGTTTGGTAAACAAACAAACAAACAAAAACAAGCAAACAAACTTCATATCTGGACACTTTCTAAAAAAAAGCAAGTGACATTCTACAGTTAAAAAAAATCTTCTTAAGATATCACATTATAGCTCAGTAATCAAAGCATCCTAAAATGGTATTTTAATTTTTATTATAACCCATACCAATACACGATCACTAGATATCTGGTACTTCCTTCCAGCTTCTTTGCTATAAAGTTTTACCATAAGTTGCTCTTTAAAAAAGAAAAAAAATCTGGATTTTAGTTATGCACATATGCAAATCACTTTTCCCCCTGAGCGTGCATTAATGCATATATACTCTGAGGGAAATGGGCAGTTTAGAAATGAAATAAATAAATGTATAAATAAATAAATGCATAAATGAATGCATGAATGAATGAATGAATTCATACATACATACATACATACATACATTAAAATGCCTTACCTGGTGTAATATTATACAGGACCACATTTCTTGTAGGTTTCACTATGCAGCTTTCCAGCACTGGGCAATACATGTGAATGCAGTTTATATTGTGAATATTGGTTTTGTAGTAGAAAACAGCCATGTTACAGAAAACTAGAAAGTAGAGAGAGATAGGAAAGTTTTTAGCTGGCCTGTAGCAAAGGATCCTGCTGCTGTTTATGCTGGATGAGCTCTATGGGATTGTGGGACATTAATTAAAAAAAAGCCAGCCCCCCTAATTAGGATACTTTTTTAGGGGAGGGTGGAGAGGCTTCATGGGATATCATCCGTTTCTCACAAAACTCCCAGTTCTACAGAACACACTGGAGACAGGGATTCTTTCAAAAGTAGGGCTTGATTGATTGACTGAGTTGGTGTCAACTTCTTAGCAATCACACAGATAGGTTTTCTCCAGGATGATAGGTCTCTAGCCTGCTCCTTCAGGTCTCCCAATGGCACCCTACTGCCCCTGTAACTGAGTCCACCCAACTCAATGGTCATCCTCTTCTTCCCTTCCCTTCCCTTCCTCCTTTCCCAGCCCTTCTCCAGGGAGCTAGGTCTTCACTTGATGGATCACAGAACTGATCTGACATGAAACCTAACGGAGAAGCCAGCATCCAATGCAGGACCCAACTGCTTGCTCTTTAAACCAAATGTCTAGCCAACTGAACACAAAACATTTAGGTATACAATGTGGGACCTGGTGAATAGGGGGTCTTCTGCCCTAACAACATGCGAGAGTCCAATCAAATCACTATAGATCAAGTTGAACCCTTAAGCCAGGGGTCTTCCAACTTGGCCATTTTATGACGTGTGGACTTCAAGTCCCAGAATTCCTCAGCCAGGCACGCGTGCCTGGCTGAGGAATTCTGGGACTTGAAGTCCACACGTCATAAAAGGGCCAAGTTGGAAGACCCCTGCTTTAAGTTGATCCATGTCCCTTTGTTCTTGAAATAAATCTGTGAACTCATAAACCCTTCAGTAGCTTTATATTCAAATCACATCACATCCAATCTATAATGGGTCGTTGTGATAATGTGGCAGTGGGTTGCTTAAATCCACCAGTGATGCTCTCCACGAACATAGTAGTGGCAGCTCGGGCCTCAGCCGTCTGAAAACAGAAATGCTAAACATTATAACTCTCTAGGCCTATCACTTTCCACCCCCAAATCTTGGTCAAAGATCAGCCAAAAAAAGGATTAAACAGATGATCTTTCTAATGAGTTGATGTTTTCATACTTTTTGCCTAAGCATTAAGACCAGGTTATATGCCGACAGGATTATGTGTCAGAATATCTAAATACGAAAACAGGGATTTTCTTGTGCCAGATCAATATTCCAGTAATAGATGGATTTAGTCCTTCGGCTCTTATTTCAGTTAGTCCCTTTATCCTACCAGCTTGTAGCACGCATGAGGGACAGAGCCCTGCAAGAGAACTGTTCTTTGTTTGAAAGTTCAGCTCTGAACTTGCCTGAAGAAATGCAATGAATGGCTTGGGGAGGCTTTAAAAGATTGTTCTAGCGTCAGAGTGTTGGAATAGTAGCCAATAATAAACAATAGTAGGAAGCACATGGAAAGGAACATGCACCCCAGGAAAAGCCGTTATAATTTCATTCATAATTCCAAATTCACTTTCAATCTCAGAAAAGCAATTTCAACAGAAGAAAACCCACCATTCTTGTAGATGGAAATGCATTGGAAATTAAAGAGCCCCCAAGCCTTTGAGTTGTTGGTTCCATGCTCAAGCTACTATTATGCTTAGGAACCTAAGACCGTGAATGCTGTATGGTATTAAATTGTTTTGCAAACGCTTCCTACTGTTATAACCTGTTTCGCATTTTAGTAAAGCAAGACTCCTTAACTCCAAAGAACTATTTCAGCCCCCCCCCCCCAAAAAAAAATGTCTATGGAGATTCTCAGTCATCCAGGTCATGGTTGTCCCAAAAGTGCTTTTTCAAAAGGCAACTGGACTTTCTTGTTTTTCCTTAAAGACATTTTGCTTCTCATTCAAGAAGCTTCTTCAGTTCTTGCTGCCTTGAGTTGTTAGTAAAAAATAATAAAGGTAGGATAGAAAGAAAAGAAAGAAAGAAAGAAAGAAAGAAAGAAAGAAAGAAAGAAAAGGAAAGAGGGAGGAAGCGAGGGAAGGAGGAAGGAAGGAAGGAAAGAAAAAGAAAGAAAGAAAGAAAAAGGAGGGAGGGAAGAAGGAAGGAAGGAAGGAAGGAAGGAAGGAAAGAGAAAGAAAGAAAGAAAGAAAGAGGGAGGGAAGGAGGAAGAAGGAAGTGTAAAGATCAAGCCAAGTATAATCTTTCAAAATATAATCTTTTATGTATAATCAATCTCTCATGGATAACAGCTATTGTCCATTTATTTTTGCTTGCTTTCTGCATGTGCTCCATTGTATTCTAAATTGTGCTGACCAAAGAAAATGTTTCTGTTACTTTACACTGTGTTGTTTCAAGAGAAAGCCTAGCTAAGAAATTGCAACACCTCTCTCTCCTTGGATTGTAAATCTTTCCCTTCTTGTTTCTCTGATGTGGCTTTAAAATGTAAACAGCTCTCTACCCCCTGCATGGTAAGAAAGTTAATGGGCTAATTGCCAGCTATGATGCTATTGTGTGTTCAAGCTTAGAGATGCAGAAGTGTAAAGCCAGGACAGATAAGGAGATTCAGAGGAACTTTTTAGATGCGTAGGAACCTTGTGATGTTTGTTGGTTATAAAAAGCAAAAACTTTTTGATTACGTGCTCTCTCTGCTCTTCATCTTCTCTGTTGTCTAAAGGAGAGTGGAGTGCCCAGCATATATTCTTTGAGCAAAGAAAATAAAGTTGTGTTCGGAGTCTCATTAGGATTTATTTGGAGTCTGAGCTGGAAAAACCTTACAGAAGGAAAGAAGGAAGGAAGGAAGGAAGGAAGGAAGGAAGGAAGGAAGGAAGGAAGGAAGGAAGGAAGGAAGGAAGGAAGGAAGGAAAAATGTTCTGCCTTGCTTTTGAACAGGTTAAAAAAAGAAATATATTAAATGTTGACACCCCAAGAGGCTAATACTTTGCCATGGGGAGTCCCTTGAATCTTTCCTGAAGAAAATAATTCCTCACCATCCTTGAGGATGCAGCAGGCCTGGCTGCACTGTCCGGCAGTGGATGCAACGTAAACCTTGAGGATCCGTGCTCCTTGCTCCTGGGAATGCTCCAGATCAAGGGAGAGACCCGGGAACTGTCGGATCCAGCAGTTTTTGTAAAACCTGGTAGGCGAGCAAAGGCCTTCCGACCTGCACATCCAGCCCCAGAGCAGAAGGACCTCTGAAAGAGCCACTAACAGAAACATCTCAGCAACATTTCCTTGGCAAAAGTCCCTTCTCCAAGGCAGAAGAAATGCGGAGTAAGAGAAACTCAGGGCTGTCTGCCGGAGTAACCTCTTTGCAGATGATGACCGTAACTTCCCGTGGAATTAGCAAGCCCTTTGCAAACCTACGGAATAATCGCTCCCAATCTTTGCACGGCTGCTTGAACTGCACGGGGTAGATCTTGAGTTGGGATAATGACACCTGGTAGAATAATAAAGGATTTCCAGCACCTGGTAGAATAATAAAGAATTACTATTGGGCCAGGAACCATATAGCCTTCTCCCTTGAAAGGGAGTCTGTAATGCATCCTCGTTGGGGGGCACTTTTTGAAGATTTCCTCACATGGTGATTTTGTTTTTATTTTTTAAAAATTGCCAATGGTATTTTAGGTCTAGAAAATCATTCTGGAACCTCTTGGTTCAGGCTTTAGAAAGCTTTCACTCAAGGTACCTTTGGAATTGTAGCTGCTTATTTTCCTTGCTTTACAAATTACGTAAGTTGTTTCGTTCAAGAATGATCCCATTAAAAACTATTCCTAAAACTCAACTGGAATCCGTTTTTCTATCTCAACACCTTTATTGTGTATCCTGAGAAAGAACAGCCGTTGGCCTTCTTCCAATAGCAGAGTTGGAAGGGACCTTGGAGGTCTTCTAGTCCAACCCCCTGGTTGAGCAGAAGAGACCCTGTCCCTATACCATTTTGGACAAATGGCTGTCCAGTCTCTTCTTTAAAAGCCTCCAGTGATGGAGCACCCACAACTTCTGGAGGGAAGCCGTTCCACTGATTAAATTGTTCTCCCTGTCAGGAAATTTCTCCTCACTTCCAGACTGGATCTATCCCTGAGGAATTTCCACCCATTCTTTTATAGGGATTGTACAAAAGCCTAATTATTAGCCTAATCACCGCCATTTTGCTTCTGTAAACTGTGCTTCCGTTAGGGACGCCATTTTGTGAAGGCAGGAAGATCACGTACACATACCCAGAGACAAGGGAAAGAGCGGGAAAGGAAGGAAATGTGATTGGTTAATATTCTGTGCACCGACAAGTGTCACCTTGTGATTGGCTGTTGCCCGTATATATATTCTTCGGGTAGCTGCTGACCCTTACACTGTCTTGTCCTGCCCTCAGGTGCTTTGGAGACTAGGTGGACCCCCTCTTCTCTGTGGCATCCCCTCAAGTATTGAAAGACAGCTATCATATCACCCTTAGTCCTCCATCTTCATTAAACCAGACCAGGGGTTCTCAACCTTGGCAACTTTAAGACTTGTGGACTTCAACTCCCAGAATTCCTCAGCCAGCAAAGCTGACTCAGGAATTCTGGGAGTTGAAGTCCACAAGTCTTAAAGTTGCCAAGGTTGAGAACCCCTGAACTAGACATACCTACAATAGTTCCTGCAACAGTTCATTGTCCAGTCCCCTAATCACCTTGGTTGCTCTTCTCTTCACTCTTTTTAAGTGTGAGGAGTGGTCCAGCTTAGACCCCCGTCGGCCTCCTCTTTGCCTGTTGAAACCCCCCCCCCCAATTCCTTCAGTCTCAAAAGAGCGGAGCAGGCCTTTCCCCCACAGCAAGGACTGCTCAGCGCCCTTCATGTTAGAAATGGAAGAAGCAGAAGACTTTCCTAATCTATTGTTGATGTTCATCTTATCTTGCATGTAATGCCCAGCTCCTGGAGAGATTCCAGACACAAGAAGCATTTGAAATTATAAAATACTGTCTGGCTATCAGCAGGAAGCACAGAGAAAGAGAGGTGTAGCCAAAATTAAAAATGCGTAATAATGTTTTCCAATTTTACCAACGTTTCCAATTTTATAAGAGGGAGTCAAGCCCCCGAAGGCAGGACAAGAAGCAACGGGTGGAAACTAATCAAGGAGAGAAGCAACCTGGAGCTAAGGAGGAATTTCCTGACAGTTAATCAGTGGAACTCCTTGCCTCCAGAACTTGTGGGTGCTCCATCACTGGAGGTTTTTAAGAAGAGACTGGACAGCCATTTGTCTGAAATGGGTTAGGGTTTCCTGCCTGAGCAGGGGGTTGGACTAGATGACCTCCAAGATCCCTTCCAACTTTATTATTATTATTATTATTATTATTATTATTATTATTATTATTATGATGAAGAGACTGGACAGCCATTTGTCTGAAATGGGCTAGGGTTTCCTGCCTGAGCAGGGGGTTGGACTAGATGACCTCCAAGGTCCCTTCCAACTTTATTTTTATTTATTATCGTTATCATCATTATCATTATTATTATCTGAAGGTTTCAAAAATTTGCAAGAGAATTTTTCAGAAACTATTTCTATATCCAGGTTCATTAGGGGGAATTTGAAGGAAAGTCGTGACGGTCATAAAGTGGGTCACTCACATGACCCAATCTTCTGACCTTTGACCTTTTTTCAATGCCGTTGTAACTTTGAACGGTCACTAAATAGATGGTTGTAAGTTGCTACTTAGGATCTCTGAAAATGCAGCAATACAGCAATTCAAATGGTAAACAAATAAATAAAAGTAAATGGATGGCAGATTTCCTGATCAGCCGCCTTCCTAGATCTTCCTTCTACGATTCAAATTTACCTCTTTTAAGATTTCCAAACCATCCCACCTTGTCCAACAATAAAGCGATAACTCATATTCGGTTTCTCTCTAGATTAGTAATTCTCAACCTGCCCAAAACAGAAATAAAAGGAAATTGGTCATTGTTATCAAAACCCGGAGATACGACATGCAGAACAAGAATAAATCACTGATGTTTTCTCAAAATTACAATTTGGTGCAATTCTACTACAAAATGACAAAGCCAAAGAAATTTAAACACGCAGAAAAAGGATATAGGTATTGCAAAACTCAACGGAGGCATGCACTACATTTGTTTCTTACCTGACCTTTTTTTTTTGGAGTTGTTTCTTGTTCTCCAAGGAAGAAAAGGATCATAAAACATTTTGTTGGGGGGAAAAACCCAAATTACACTGTCGCTTTTGAAACACCCAAGAACGATTTGCCAATGTTTGCGTATTGTTTCACCGTCCAGTTGGACGCTTGAGTTAGCGTTGATTAAGGATAGATAAAAGCGCTTACTTTAGAGTCAGGCAACAGATTGCTGCCTTTTAGCGGGATGAATGGAGAAGGAAAATTTCTTTCTTTGCATGGAGAGAAAAGAAAATGGCAGATTCCACTCTATTGACATTGGATACCTGGTAATTAACCCCTTTTCTGCCAAGGACCTTAGCTGGGACTGCAGAAAATTCTCTGCCAAACAAGTAAAAATGCAAATGTAATTTACCGCTGTACTGCTTATTACAGAATTACTAAAAGTAGAAGATGAAGAGAGAACCAGATTACATCTCTTTCAGGCTATACTATACTACATACTAAATTTTATGGGGAGGGTTTCTTTTTTTAAAAAAAAAAATCCCTAAACTTTTAATGCTTCCCAGCAAAATATTATTTCTGTTATTTTTATAATACAACTTTTTTTTTTAATAATCCTTGACTTACAACCACTGGTTTAGTGCCCATTCTAAGTTACAATGGCATTGAAAAAAGTGACTTGTGACTGGTTTTCATACTGGCAACATCCCCTTGTCACGTGATCAAAATTTGGATGCTTGGCAACTGGCATGTATTTATGACAGTTGTGGTGTTCTGGGGTTATGGGATCCCCTTTTGCTACTCCGACAAGTCAGGTCAATGGGAAAGCCAGATTCTCTTAACAACTGTGTTACTAAGTTAATCACCTGCAGTGATTAACTGACAACTGTGGCAATGAAAGTCATAAAATGGGGCAAAACTCAATGTCTGTCTCGCTTAGCAACAGACATTTGGGCTCAGTAGAATTGTAAGTTGAGGACTATCTGTATATCTGTTCCCACCTGGTTTTTAAGCAGTTGTCCACCAGGACTCCGAGATCCACCTCACAGTTAGATCCCTGAACATGGCAGATGTTGGGTTCAATGGCAGAGATGTAAGGTCACAGGAAATCTTCATTCCCTATAATTGAGGTTCTGGAAGACGCTGGGTAGACCCTATAGCAGGGGTCTCCAAGCTGGGCAACTGTAAAGCTGGTGGACTCCAACTCCCAGAATTCCCCTGCTCTACACAATGAAATAACGATGCGCCCAAATCAAGGGTATATTTCGCCAAATCAGGGTTGAGAATGACAGCTGCCTTGGGCTAGCAGAGTGCGGTGCGCAGAGAGCCACCCTAGACAAACAAACACCACACTGAGCCTCACGGCCTTCTCAGAAGACGCGGCCTACAAAAGAAGCCGTTTCTTCAGAGAATGCACAATTTCACTCTGCACTGAGGCTGTCCCGGGGCCTCTTCTTCCCTTGAGGCAGAGATTGCACCTGCTTGAGGCTGGGTTGCATAACAGACCCACAATTGGAGAACACAAGTCCTTTCTCCGCTGTGGTGACGGAGGAGATCTGTGATCCGTGGAAGACCCTTCCTTGGAAAAAGATGCTGGGTTGGTTTCCACCCCCTAGTAACACTAGAAAAGGGGCACCTGCACATTTTTTGAACACAAATGCCAAGAGGACAAAGATGTGAATAGGCTGTGTGCTCTGTGACAAAAGAGGGGTGGGAGAAATATTTCAAATGTTTTTATTTCAGTATTAACAATAGGTACATCGTTTTGAACAGAACCTATTTCTATAACAAATATAACACACAAAGATATATAACAAATATAACAAACAAAGATATATAACAAATATAACAAACAAAGATATATAACAAATATAACAAAGATATATAACAAATATAACAAACAAAGATATATAACAAATATAACAAACAAAGATATATAACAAATATAACAAACGAAGATATATAACAAATATAACACACAAAGATATATAACAAATATAACAAACAAAGATATATAACAAATATAACAAACAAAGATATATAACAAATATAACAAACAAAGATATATAACAAATATAACAAACAAAGATATATAACAAATATAACAAACAAAGATATATATAACAAATATAACAAACACAATTAGGGGGCAGGAGGCTAAAACATAAGGAGCTGGAACTGGGTATGTGTAATTTACTAAAGAGAAGGACCAGGGCTGATAGGATAGCTGATAGCATCTTAAAAATATCTATGGGGTTTCCAGAAAGAAGAGGACGGTCAACCTATTCTCCAAAGCATCAAGGGGAGAAGCAACCTGGAACTAAGGAGGAATTTCCTGATAGTAGAACAATTAACCAGAGGAACTCCTTGCCTCCAGAAGTTGTGGGTGCTCCAACACTGGAAGTTTTTAAGAGGAGACTGGACAGCAGGAGGATCATGAAGAAAGCCCGTCCAGCGGCTCACAGCGGCAGCGGGGCCTTTTGCCCTGGCTCCGAAATGGCGGAGTGGGATCAGGCCTACCCTGCCCATCCTCCGTACGGTAGTCCGGCTCAGGCAGGGAGTGAAAGGGAGCAAGAAATGGCCTGGCTTGGGGGGGCGGGCTGAAGGAAATGGGTGCAGGGCATGTGAGGCAGCTCCACACCTTCCCCACCTGCCTCGCCTCGTTGTGGCGGCAGTGATGTGATGTGACATGTGGCCTCCTGCCACGAGCGGCCGTAGCAGAAGTGGGGCAGCAGCCATGTGGGCTCCTGCTAGATGGGTTGTGGGTGCTGCCACCGCGAGGCGAGGTGGGTGTCACGAAAAATATAGGACACCACCCGAAAATAAGACCTAATGCCTCTTTTGGAGGTAAAAATAATATAAGACCGGGTCTTACTTTCGGGGAAACACGGCAGTTGTATGCTGCTTCTTTCTTTGGAGAATGGTGGTGAATGGTGGTGGGAGGAAGTTATACGTCTTCTATAATCAAATCACCTGCATTGGGGGGAAAAAAGTGAGACCAATGAAGGAAAGAAGGAAGGGAAGCCTCTGCCTATCCACACAATGAGAACACCCGAAGGATGCAGAGCTGCTGCGATTTAATCTCTGGACTACATTGCTAGAAACCACAATAGGGTCGTCCTCAAATTACGACAACAATTGAGCCCAGAATTCTGGTCAATTGTAAGATCATTTTTATAACGGTTGCTAAGTGAGTCACCTGGTCCTAAAGCAAATTATGTGCTCACGAGTCCAAATCCAGATGATCCACAGGAAGTGTTTTGTGATTATTATTGTCATTTTTTGCCCAGAAAGCAACAAAAACTATTGCAAAACACGATCGCATAGCCCCAAGAAGCTGCAGCTGCTTGTTAAGTGTGGACTGGCTGCCAAGCACCCAAATGGCTGTGGAATTCTGGGAGTTGAAGTCCACATGCCTTAAAATTGTCAAGGTTGAGAAACACTGATCTAGCGGTTTGTGGGCAAGTGTTATCGTGAACCGACACCACACCACGCCGGAAGTCAGCAGGCCCGACGCTTGTTGTGGATGGTTTGTGTGAGTTTTTGTAACATTTCACAGCAGATGTCTGAACTGAGTATCAAACCAGGCTCCATGAACTTCACGAGCAGTTACTCCTTGGCCTCTTCACATTTGGCGGGATTTTCTATGGCACCATTTCCGGTGTGTCGGTTCACGACAATGCTCGCCTGCATACCGCTAGACGCACCCAGGAGGTTTTGAAACAGTTCCCTTGGGATGTGTTTGATTCCCCCCCCCCCATAGCCCAGATTTGGCGCCGAGCGACGACTAACTAAGGAATTTCAAATCTTGTAAGACATTACAAGGGCCTCAATCTGAATGGCGATTGTGTTAAAAAGTTATGTCATGTTGTAGTTTTCTAAGCTGTGTAATAAAAGTTCTGCATCTGCGAGTGTCTGTCGTGGATACCCAAATGGAGGTTTATTTCTGAATTGCCCTCGTATATTCTGCCCCCTCCCCTTGCCCATATACGTAAATAAGTGCCAGTGAACCCTCTTAAAGCTTCCTTGAAGAGTGAAATGGAAGCAGAAGGACTTGTGGGGAGCCAACGTGCCTGCAGGAGCTGCAGAAGGAGGAGAGGTGCTTAGTGGGTCAGGAACAGCCCGGTCCAAAGTGTCCACTCATCACATGGCTCCCTCTTCACCAGCTCCAAATCGACAATATATGTCACTTGTTTTCTCTTACAAATCTTGGGGCTGCCGTCCGTTTGGCAGACCAGAGAAACTGGAGCTTCAGCTTTTGCAAAGCAAGGAAAACACATGAAAAAAGCCCTAGAAGAGAGAGAAAAAAAAGGAACGTAAGGGAAGGGACCTACTTTCCATCATCCCTTTGATTCCAGAAACCAGAATGGGAAAAGTGATACGCCCAGCTTGTGCTCATCGCTTTTAACCTTGGTTTGTTTTTTCACGACTGGATGTGTTCCGCAGCCACTTTGAGTTCATCGAATCTTAAAAAGGCTTTCCTAATTCACAGGCTGCTAAGGCTGCTAAGAAATCCCAACCTGTTGGAAAGTACTCCACCAAGTCTTTTAGCCCCAATAATGAATTAAAGATAAAATTGGAGCACATTTGCCTCTTGCCCCCCTCCTCCGCAGAATATCCCCATCCTCTGAGAAATTGGCTACAAAAAGGGGCTACAAAAAGTCCCCCAGAGTCCAGCTCTGAAAACCTATTTACATCCTGGAAGCCATTTTAGCTCTGATGACCACCAACGGACGGAAAGTGACAGTTGAACTGAATGGCTGACATCATGAAGCAAGTAGAATCCCCCAGATGACAGACCTCCTTTGGGATCCCCACAGAAATCCCCCTCCCCACCTTTTCTACACACACCAACGCCAGCCCAAAGTCTCTAGGAACGCACCAACAAACCACCAAACCTGCCCTTTTCTCATCGTTTGGCTCTTTGGTTGTAGACTGCCTCTTTATATGGAAGCTCCACTAAGCTAGCTGATTGAACAAGGCCCACGGATGCAGCTCTTGGTCAGCTTCCGTTTTGATTCCCTTTGTGTGGCCATTCCAGGGTCAGTTCTCTCCTTGGGTTTTCAAATTTAGATCTAATTTCTCATAAACTATCCAGAGAAGAAAACAACAACAACCCACGTGGAACACATTCCACCGAAACAGAATATTGTATACACCTTAATGAAGCTAAGGATCCGGTGATTTGGTTGCGCCCCACATCACCGGATCCTCTTTTTAGACCCGTGTTGAGGGACCCCGCTCTTTTCAGAAAGCCGAAGAATCAGACTTTTCTTTTTAACCCAGAGGCCTAGATCTCCCAAGGTAGACTGCCCCTTAGTATGGAAGCTCTATTAAGTCACTCTCCCTCGAGCGAGACCCATGAGGACAGCTTTCTGCCGGTTGTTTTCCTGACTGTTTCCTTTTGGTTCACCTCACGGCTGAGGTCCCACCATTTTCTCTCTGTTTGAATGAAGACACCCTCCTTTTTCTTCTGGCCACCAAAGTTCAAGCAGGACAAAATACACAACATTTTTTTTGTCTTTTCTTTTCATCGATAGAGCAGGGCTGCCTGAAATAAAAGGGTAGGGAGAAACTTAACAACCTCTCCAACGATTTCCGTGAAAGAAAATCCAATATACTGTGCAAGGAGCCCTGAAAGCGGTTTGAAGTTACAATGGAACGTCCCCCCCACCCCAAAAAAACCTTCCTAGGGACCCAGTTTCAAAGTCCCAGTGTCCCCCCCTCCCTCTGTGATCATGTGACCGCCATTTTGGGCCCTTTCCCCCCGGACTACATTTTCAGCCATTTGCAGTATCTCGCAGTCACGGGACCACAATTTACAATGTTTTTGCAGAAATTGGTTATTTGCTTCCAGTTTCTAGCAAAAAAGGGGCCCCACAGCAAGCAATGGGTTTGCTTAATGACCGCAGTGTTCACTTAACAACTGCCATTAAGTGACCCACTTTATGACTGTCACGACTTACAGCCAAAATTGCAGGTTCACTATGATTGTGAAAGGCCCCAGCCATATTCATGCAGTTAATTAATGAGGTCCTACATAATCACTTATATCAGGGGTAGGCAACCTTGGCTCTTTTATGACTCGTGGACTTCCAATTCCCAGAATTCCTGAGCCAGCAGCTGGCTCAGGAATTCTGGGAATTGGAAGTCCACGAGTCATAAAAGAGCCAAGGTTGCCTACCCCTGACTTATACAAACGTGTGTCTTGATGACATTTTTACTGTTTATTTTATTTTATTTTTATTTTCAGTAAGCCTACTGATGGGTTTTTTTGGTATAGATTTTATTAGTTTTTATAGGGTTAGGAATAAGATGGGGTCAGGATTAGGGTTAGGAATTGAGTTAGGATTTTCCCAAACAACATTTTCAATATTTAGCAAAGAGCATAATGTTTGGGTACATGTATTTAACTAACAACAATAGATATAGTTAATTATTATAAACAATATGTTAATTCATCACTCCATAGCCTTCTTCTTGTTAATATATTCAAAATGACATAGCACGTTCCTTTCTCTCTGACGCGTTTTTCTAGCCATGGATAGAAATTATCCCATGTTCTAAAGTACACGGAGTCTTCTTTCTCTTTAATCTTTAAAGTCAACCTATCCATTTCTGCACACTCTAGGATTTTCTTAATTAGTACTTCTAAGCCTATTGATGTTTTGAGGAGTAACCTGTGAATAAAAATTAAATGCAATTGAAAATGGTATCTGTTCTTGTTCAACAAAAACAGAATCCATCTGATTGGTACGCACTGTTGAAAAAGAACATGAAATGTAACTAACTTATGTAACTTTAACTGTAAAATGTTAGATAAAACTTACCAAAACAAAAAGAATATTTTCCAAGGACACAAGCTGATTCCTCCCTTTCCTTAAGTCTCTTGTTAAAGAACCTGTTTGCCATTCAACCGTAAAAGAAAAAAACAGTCAAAGATATAAAACTAGAAAGAAAGCAAGTTCGCTGGCTAACAATGCTATGTAGTATATAAGTCCATTTTTTTTTCCTTTTGTAAACAGACTCTTCTTGAGTATCTTCTAAAAAACCCCTCAAGTCTTCTTTGGACTAATATAACCCGAAATTAAGTATTGTGACTGATTTTTCAGCAAGAGTCCTTCAAGGCTGTAAGCACTGTGTCTATTGTTTAGAAGGGGAAAAAAAAAAACCCCACATAATTGCAGCCATTTCTGCCATGGCCCCAGCACGCCACAGCTTCTACAAACCACAAATTTGGTGTAATCAGTTTAGTGACTTTGTTTAATTTAGAAAAATGTCTCCAGTGGTTTGAGACGTCGTCTTCCAAATCCTAATTAAAAAAAAAAAAATAACCGTGTTTTATTTTCACTGTAAATCTACTACCATGCAGTGGATGAAAACAAGAAACCCGTTTGAAAATGCGCAGTTAGTTTAATTTTTCTCCATTATCCACCCGGCTTTTTTCCCCCCCTCAAGACTGGAAAATGTCAACTTTACCTCATTTAACCACTGAAATGGATTTTTGCTACTCTTGGCCACCTTCCTTTTCCAAGGATTTGTGTTGCTATGATAATGAGACTACATGGGTCACAGTGTGTTTCACGTATTATTGATCTCAAAGCCCATAAACAGATCTCTTTACAGTATAAATATGGATGACAAGAAAAAAAAGGAAACAAAATCCCTCACGAGAGAAAATTTTTGGCCTGCTAGCAATTATTAGCAACAGCTATTTGAGGAGTTTTAAAAGAATCCTGATGCTCCTGCATCTTCTTAATTTTTCAGAGCATCAGTTAGGGGTTACTGCTAGAGGAGGATTGTGGCAAAAAAAGATGATTGGGTGGGGGAATTGTCATAAAAGCCTTTCGGTCTGTATTTTATTTTATTTTTTAAAGAAAAATGGTTTTGGCGGAGGTTTGGCAGTACTCAGAAGCCTGGGTTCCTGAGTCTCCATCTTCACTTTGGACTGACTCATAACTGTTAGGGAAGAGGGTTAATTGCGGGAAAACTAGAGTAGGATTGCTTGCCTCTGGGGATAACCAAATGAAATCCAATTTCCATTTTCGGAGAAGCTCCCTGTAAGAGCAGAATCCAGAGAGGCAGCAATTAGCAAGTCTCAGACCAGAGAGACAATTACATCAATAAATCTGTGTGTCCAAAACCACCAAGCAAAAACCATCAATTATCCATCCTCTTGGAAAGATGGAAGGAAAATCCATGGGTTTAAAGTGGATTTTTTTTTTTTTTTTGCATTGCCGAAGCCCAATTCTCAGGGATGGCATGGAAGGTTTCCTTCTTGCCAGCCATGGGGAGATTAATTTAGCCAAGGGATGTCTCAAACTCTTTTGCTAAGTAACTTTATACCCGCAGATGGGCAGAGACCTCCGGCGACTTGCACTTATGGCCAAGCGCTGGAGTGAAGCTTGGAAGAATTCATGGTTGATTTGGGGTTTGTTTATCTGCTTAAGAAAGACCTTTATGAAAGGTGATTTGCTAGTTGTGACATCCACACGTTTGGAAGACAGAATGGCTTCATCAAAGCCCATTTCCTCTGCTCAGATGGTCACATTGCACGACTGATATCAGTCATCAGTCATATCAGCAGTGACTGCTCCTCTTTTCCAGTGTCTTTGCTTTTGTTAGATTAGATCACACGAAGTTTCAGTACCGCTTTATAAAGCCCTAGTAAGACCACACCTGGAATACTGCAGCCAGTTTTGATTGCCATACCACAAAAAAGATGTTGAGACTTTGGAAAAAGTTCAGAGAAGAGCAACTAAGAGGATCCAAGGCCTGGAGACTAAAACATACGAAGAACGGCTGCGGGACTTGGGTCTGGCTAGTCTGAAGAAAAGAAGAAACAGGGGAGACATGATAGCAGTCTTCCGGTATCTGAGGGGCTGCCAGAAAGAGGAGGGGGCCAGGTTGTTCATAATATAGTATAATAATATAATATAATATAATATAATATAATATAATATAATATAATATAATATAATATAATATTATAATATAATATAATATAACATAACATAACATAACATAAGAATAGAATAGAATAGAAGAGTTGGAAAGGACCTTGGAGGTCATCTAGTCCAACCCCCTGCTCAGGCAGGAGACCCTATATCATTTCAGACAAATAATAATAATAATAATAATAATAATAATAATAATAATAATAATAATAATAATAATAATAATAATGTAAGGGATCTTGGAGGTCATCTAGTCCAACCTCCTGCTCAGGCAGGAAATCCTAGACCATTTCGGACAAATGGCTGTCCAATCTCTTCTTAAAAACTTCCAGTGTTGGAGCATTCACAGCTTCTAGAGGCAAGGAGTTCCACTGGTTAATTGTTCTCACTGTCAGTAAGTTTCTCCTTAGTTCTAGGTTGCTTCTCTCCTTGATCAGTTTCCATCCGTTGTTTCTTGTCCTGCCTTCAGGCGCTTTGGAGAAGAGCTTGACTCCCTCTTCTTTGGGGCAGCCCCTGAGATACTGATTGATTTCATGGAAAGCTTCATCCTGGGCCGGGGCGACCCCAATCTCTCTTCCCCCCCCCCACCCCGGGCTTTCTGCTTCGCAAAGGACCTTCCCACCGGCCCAAGCGGGGAGGAGGAGGGGGGGGAGAGCAGCGGGCGGCGCATCCCTCCCCAGCCCAGCTCGCCTCCGCAGCCTCTCCCAGCCGCCGGCCTTCTAGGGCTTTCCCGGAGCAGCAGCGTCCCCGGCACCGCCTCCGCGCTCTCCCCGCCCCGCGCCGGCGCCCTGCTCCGCGGCCGAGGGCAGCGCAGGGATGGCCGGCCAGGGGGGCACGGAGGACGCGGCGGCGGCGGCGGACCCGGAGCCGCTGGTGGAGGTCCGCCTAGGCGAGCGCCGCTTCCCGCCGGTGCGCCAGAGGCGGCTGGTGGAGCAAAGCGACTACTTCGGCGCGCTCTACCGCTCGGGCATGCGGGAGGCAGCGGAAGCGGCGGAGGCGGCGGCGGGCGGCGGCCGCTTGGCGGTGCAGCGGCTGCGCGGCGGGCTGAGCGCGGCGGGGCTGGCGCGGGTGCTGCGCTTCGTCGAGACGGCGCGCCTGGAGGCGGAGGAGCCGGGCGAAGGCGGCGGGCTGGCGGAGCTGGTGGAGGCCGCCTGCTTCCTGCAGGTGAGGCCCCTGCTGCACCTGCTGCGCTCCCGCCTGCGCCTGCCCGACTGCCTGGAGCTGCACCGCCTGGCCCGCCTCTACGGGCTGGCCGAGCTGGCCGACGCCTGCCTGGACTTCATGGCCGGCCGCCTGCACCAGCTGCTGGCCCGGCCCCGGGACCGCCCGCCCCCCGGCCTGGCCCAGGAGCTGCGCCTCCACCGCCGCCGCGGCCGGCCCGCCCTGCTCCTCCTGGGCGCCTTCCCGGACCGGCCGCCGCTGCTGCGCTACGACGAGGAGGAGCGGCGCTGGGAGGCGCTGCCGCCCGCCGAGCTGCCCGCCCGGCTGCTCCAGGTGCGCGGCTTCGGCTCGGCCGCCCTGGACAACTACCTGTTTGTGGCGGGCGGCTACCGGCCTGGCAGCCAGGAGATCGCCGCCGCCCACCGTTACAACCCCTGGCTGAAGGAGTGGCGCCCGCTGGCCTCCCTCAACCAGAAGAGGTGAGGCTGGCCTGAAGCCCACCGACCGGGAAGGACCCAAGCGGGTTTCTTTCAGGACTTTCTGCTTTTTCCTTTGAAGACGTTTCGCTTCTCGGCCAAGAGGCTTCTTCGGCTCTGACTGGATCAGTGGTTCTCAACCTTTTTAATGTCGCGACCCCCAACCGGTCGTAAGTCAAGGACTACTCAACCGGTCGTAAGTCGAGGACTACTCAACCGGTCGTAAGTGGAGGACTACTCAACTGGTGCAGCACCGTTTGCAGACTGGGGCTTTTGGCAGGCTCAGCAGGGCAGAGACAGCCTGGACCATTCCTATTGGCTTTGGAAAGCCAATAGAATTAGACTCTATTCAAGAGAGTCTCTTCTATTGGCTTTCAAAAGCCAATAGAATAAAAGGGAGTAGCACAGCTAAGGAAAAGGGGGAAAAAAATGGTGGACTGCGTTGTTTGGCGACCCCCGTGAAATGGTCATTCCACACCAAATGGGGTCCCGACCCACAGGTGGAGAACCACTGGACTGGATGGTGGGGAGTGGAAGGATTTATACTCCTTGCAGACGGCTGGTCCTTTTAGAGCCACGGTTCTCAACCTGTGGGTCGGGACCCCATTTGGGGTCGAACGACCATTTCACGGGGGTCGCCAAACAACGTAGTCCGCCATTTTTTCCCCCTTTTCCTTAGCTGTGCTACTCCCTTTTATTCTATTGGCTTTTGAAAGCCAATAGAATAGACTCTCTTGAATAGAGTCTAATTCTATTGGCTTTCAAAAGCCAATAAGAACTGTTCAGGCTGTCTCTGCCCTGCTGAGCCTGCCAAAAGTCCCATTCTGCAAACGGTGCTGCATCAGTTGAGTAGTCCTCGACTTACGACCGGTTGGGGGTCACGGCATTAAAAAGGTTGAGAACCACTGTTTTAGAGAATGGTTGAGGCCACTTGGAGGTTTACCTGAAGGTCACCTGAGTGGTGCAAATGGGTGTGGAGCAGGGGTAGGCAACCTTGGCTCTTTTATGACTCCTGGACTTCAACTCCCAGAATTCCTGAGCCAGCTGGCTCAGGAATTCTGGGAGTTGAAGCCCATGAGTCATAAAAGAGCCGAGGTTGCCTACCCCTGGTGTGGAGCCTTCTTGGAGCTGTTGAAAGGACTGTGTTGTAGACTGGAGATGGATGATGTCGTATCCCTCCCCTTCTGTTGAGGGAGGGCAGTTCAATTTTGATGGGGAGGGGGAGGGATATGACCACTTCTATCTCCAGTCTTCCACACAGTCCTTTCAGCAGTTCCAAGAAGGGAACACACCCATTTGCACCACTCAGGTGACCCTGAGGAGACAGATACACCTCCAGGTGGCCTCAAGGACTCTCTAAAAGGAGGCAAAGGACCGGCTGTCTGCAAGGAGTATAAATCCTTCCATTCCCCACCATCCAGTCAGAACCAAAGAAGCTTCTGGGATGAGAAGCGAAACAACATCTAAGGAAAACAAGAGAGTCTAGTTGCCTCCTGAAAAAGCATCTTTGGGACAACCATGGCCTGGAGGGCTGAGAATCTACATAGATTTTGGAAGGAAGATCCTGAAGCTGAGGCTCAAATACTTTGGCCACCGAATGAGAAAAGAGGACTCATTGGAAAAGACCTAGTGCTGGGAAAGATAACGCAAAAGGGGGACGGCCTGCGATGAGATGGTTAGATGGGCGTCCTCAACCGAGTGGGTGACAGTTTGGGCAAACCATGGAGACGGTGGCAGATGGGAACTCAGTATCCAACTCTATCGCTAAGAGTTGGAGTTGACTTAGGGATTGAACAAAACTCTGGCAGGCCACAGGGGAGTGTAGGGTGTGCAGGTTCCCCAGGCTTTAGGAGACCCTCAAATTAGGCCTGCCCAGGGATGCTTGACACCAGGACATCCCTGGGGACACTCCCTTACCAAGAAACTTGCTACAAGTTGACTTGCAACCATTCATTTAGCCAAAGTTACAATGGCACTGAAAAAAATGACATGACCAAATTGCTGGTCCTTGAATGCCTGCTTTTGGTGCCCAATATTTAATGTTCAGACCAAGCGAAGGTAGGGCAAAAAAGTCAACCAACAGAGGGCAACAACAAAACCAAGCTTTGGGAATGATTGACTCCCCAAATAATGCTTATAAAATAACTGTTACTTGTGCAAACTACGTCTAAAGTCAAACAGATTTTTTTTCTCTCTCAATATATATCTCCTGCAGGTTTCTTAGAGCAGTGGTTCTCAACCTTTCTAATGCCGTGACCCCATAATACAGTTCCCCATGTTGTGGTGACCCCCAAGTGGGTGTGGCCACCAATAAGAGGGAGTAGGACAGCTAGGGAAAAGGGAAAAAAATGGTGGACAGCATGGTTTGGCGACCCCCATGAAATGGTCGTTCGACCCCAAATGGGGTTCTGACCCACAGGTTGAGAACCACTGTCTTAGACGCTTACGCTAGGCATTTTCTCAGCTCCATTGTGAGAATTTTAACATTAACCTCTCCTTTAACTATTGCCTCCATGGGTCCAAATGATTTAGTTTCGGGACCTCTCGATCAGATTCAGGTTTTCCCTCCAAGAAGAAGAAAAAGGAAAGATTTGGGGCCTCATCCGTATGTGGGCTGACCGGGGTATAAAGCCTATGCAAATCAGTAGGACTGTTGCAGAAGCATATGTGCACGGAAGGCTTTTTATTCAGCTGAATGAATAAAACGAAAGTTTTGTTGTCAAGCTCCATTTTGTTGTCAAGCTTCAGCCATTTTTTTGTTTCTTGACTTGCCAACAGACGCAGGGCAGAAGGGGGAATGTTTGGCGTGCTCAGCGCACATGTCAACGGTCCGGCCTGGGAACCAAGTCATCGGAGGACCGTTGGGCTGGAACTGAGGATGTTTCCCATAACAAATGTCTGACACTTAATTGGGGAATGTGACCTGCACTATAGAGGGGAAAGGAGGTCCTACACTTTTAATTTACTGTTCTGGCGCCATTTTCGCCAGAGCTGATTTTCTACTCATTGGTGCCGATACGCTGAGCTCAATAAAGCTTTGCATTAGAGATTGTAGTGTCTCAGCTGTGCGTCCTTCGTTGGGATCATCAGTCTGAACCATGGCATTTGTACGATTTGTTGCATCGGGTTGTCGAAATAAAACACTGTGCCGCTGGAAATATTTGTGCCTTAACCTTCAACTCTTCCAATGTCTTTTTCCTAGGGCTAATTTTAAGCTCCTGGCCGTGAGTGGAAAGCTATACGCCGTCGGGGGCCAGTCGCTCTCCAGCGTTGAGTGTTACAACCCGGAGCAGGACTGGTGGACCTTCGTGGCGCCTTTACCAGCTCCCCTTGTGGAGTTCTCAGCGTGTGAATGCAAGGAGAAGATCTATGTCATGGGAGGCTACACTCCAAGAGGTAAAGCCACCAGGGGCCATAGATAGCCATATGGGGATACACCCACACCCACACCCACACCCGTACAGGTATTTCAACACTTCACAACACTTTAGTGACCATTCAAAGTTACAATGTCACTGAAAAAAAAAGGGACAATCGTTTTTCACCCTGGCGACCATTGCAGCATCCCCGGGGTCACGTGATCAGAGTCCAGAAAATTGGCCACTGATAAGTTTATAATGTTTGCAGTGTCCCGGGATCACGTGATCCCCTGTGGTGACCTGACAAGCAAAGTGAGTGCGTAAACCAGATTCCCTTCGCAAACGTGTAACTAAACTTTAACGTGTAAAGAGCCGAGGTGGCGCAGCAGTTAGACTGCAGTCCTGCAGGCCACTTTAGCTGACTGTGTTCAGCAGGTCAGCGGTTCAAATCTCACCGGCTCAAGGTTGACTCAGCCTTCCATCCTTCAGGATGGAAGGATGGAAGGCTGAGGACCCAGATTGTTGGGGGCAATGTAATATATATATATATATATATATATATATATATATATATATATATATATATATATATATACACACACACACACACATTGCTTACTGGTGTACACCACTTAGAGAGTGCTTGCACTTAAAGCGGTATATAAGTCTCATAAATAAATAAATAAACTAACTTATCAGTCGCAACGATTCACAATTGCTTTGTCAAGAAAGGCTGTGCAATGGGACCACACTCCCTTAACAAATGTCTCTGGACTGGCCATTCTCAATTCCTACAATCGTTCTTCCTATGTTTTAGTCTCCAGGCCTTTACTCATCTGAGTTGCTCTTCTTTGCACTTTTCCCCAAAGCTTCAACACCCTTTTTTTGTAATGTGGTGACCAAAACTGGATGCTGTATTCCAGGTGTGTCCTTACTATTTTATTGATTGATTGATTGATTGATTAGCCTTTGGGCATATCAAAGTGCAAAGCCCCAGAAACAAATGATTACTAAGATTTGATAAAAGCCATTTAAAGTGGAATTGGATAAAATAACGATTTAAAATGAAATGGGAGTGAAATACCATGACATTGGAAAAAACACAGTCTGAAATGAAATTGGAATAGAACACAATACTTTAAGACATAGATAAAATACGATAAAATTATATTTCGGGGTCACCCCTTGCAGTGTGCCCCAATCAGTCCCACATAGGTGGGTGTGTCCTTACTAAGGGTTTTATAAAGCGGTACTAACACTTCGCGTGATCTTGATTCTAGGCCTCTGTTTATACAACCCTGGATCGTATTGGCTTTTTCGGCTGCTGCTTAATATTTTAAATTTGCTGAGCTTCAGCAACTAATGTTGCTGAACTGAGCAAATTTAAGGTATTCGACTTCAGCTCTCCAAATTCCCTATTTCTTGTCCCAGGATCATGGGTCACCTGCGGAGGGCAGCCACTTTTAAGGTGTTCCCAACCAGCGCACACACGTGCAGAACAAAACTACACTCCAGATCAGATTTTGCAGGTCCTTATTCTGCGTTAAACTTCTTTTCTCCATTGCAGACCGGAATCTGAATATCTGGGAATATTGTCCCGTCTCTGACAAGTGGAGTAACTTCGAAACCTGCAGAACGCACCTCCGCAAGCAGCAAATGTTGTCGGTGGAGGAGACCATATATATCGTGGGCGGCTGCAGCCACGACTTGGATTCCAAAACGAGATCCGGTCAGAACGAGGCTATGTTAACTGTGCAATCTTACAACGTGGTTACCAAAGAGTGGCTTTACCTCAAAGAAAACACCTCCAAATCGGGTCTCAACTTGACTTGCACTTTGCACAACGACGGGATTTACATCCTGAGCAGAGACATCACTTTGTCCACAAGCCTGGAGCACCGGGTTCTTCTGAAATATAATATATTTTCAGACCGGTGGGAGTCACTGAGAAACTTCCCCATCCCTGGACAAAACATGTTGATCTGTTCTTTGTATTTTCCAGACCTGAGCTGAATTCCCTTCGTTGCAGAACAGAGACTTTTTTTGTCTTTATCTGTCCACAAATTCTTTTGGCAGTTTCCCCCCCTGACTTTGGCCACTTTTGAGACGCATGGACTTCAACTCCCAGAGTTCCCCAGCCAGCCATGGAATTCTGGGATTTGAAGTCCACCTGTGTTAAAAGTATCCAAGGCTGGGAAATGTTTAAAGAGACGATGCTCAAAATGTCACCATTGCAATTGATAAAGCGGGAGGAGAGAAAGAATAAATGTGTACGGATGCCAACCGATGCACATTAATCTGGCTTTTGGCTTAGATGAGAACCGATGGCTGTTGGGTGCAGAGAAACTTGTTTAACATCAGTGAATAAATTTACTGTTTCATATCGATGGCCATCGTTTCCCATCCAACTTGAAATATTCCTTTTTCCAAACCCTTTTGGGCCAGGTAGGTTAAGTAAACCTCATCACCAGAAATACAGTTTTGACCACGGATGTGATTAAAGCCATACTGCTTTTATATGTCCCTATTTTGACATTGTGGACATCCCTAGAAGCCAATAAAAGTTGAATTAGAGCAATTATTTTGGAAGTAGGAAGCGATACCCTTTCGTGAGAATGTGTGAGCAGGAAGCTGGCATGATCTGAGCGAAAGAAAAGTGCGTATTTTCAGGACTTGCCACCTTAAAGTGGACCTCAAAAATGAATCATAGAATCATCCGTCTGGAAGGACCTGTGAGGTCTTCTAGTCCAACCCCTTACTTAAGGCAGGAGCCTTCTGCCATCCAATCAAATGGTTGTCCAGTCTGTTTTTGAAAACTTCCAGGAGACAAGCTGCTGTTCCATGAATTAATTGTTCTCGCTGTCAAAAAAAAGTTCTCCTTACTTCTAGGCTGTATCTCTCTTTAACAAGCTTCCAACCTATTTAACAAAGCCCTTGCAGGCAGGATAAGAAACAGTGGATGGAAACTAACCAAGGAGAAAAGCAACCTAGAACTAAGGAGAAATTTCCTAACAGGACAATTAACCAGTGGAACAGAAGTTGTGGCTGCTCCGTCACTGGAGGCTTTTAAGAAGAGACTGGATGGCCATTTATCAGAAATAGTAGAGGTCCCCTGTGAGAGCAGGGATTGTACTAGACGACCTACTACAGCTAGTACTAAGAGGGGAAAGAAGAGGGAGTCCATTTATATTCCAAAGCACCAAAAGGCAGGACAAGAAACAATGGATGGAAAGTAATCAAGGAGAGAAACAAATGTAAACAAATCACTAGCCTACAAGGACAGATCATTTACCTAGGGTCTGTAATCCGTGCTCTTCGGGCAGAAATTAGGTGTCCAGTTCAGCCCCTCTACTCTAGTAAGCCTCCCTGCTATCAGCCCCCTTTACCACAAAGATCCTGCAGGAAAAGGGCAGTGTGGACAACCGTGGGATCTGGCAGGGTGAGAGCTGTGAACCATAAACACAAAGCTTTCGCTGTGTCCCTGCACAACAGCTACAGTGCTCTTGCTGACCTTAATAGGGACATTAAGGAGACTGGTAAAGGTATTTGTGAAGATAACTCAAATAAGCAGGGGATTGTGGTCCGAGATGAAGAACTAGATTTTGATAGGGAGAAGTGTGAATCAGGTATTGCACATCAGTCATGCAAGAATAGAAAGGCTCCCAAAAAGAGAAGCTACCTTCTGGTAGGTGATTCAATTATAAGGGATGTAAATTTAGGAAAGGACACAGAGGCTTTGAAAGAGGTCAGGTGTCTTCCAGGTGCTACTGCCAGTAGGGACAAGAAGCGTATTTCTAAAATAATCAAGAATGGCAGCAAGGACTGTGATGTGGAGGCTATTGTACACCTTGGCACTAATGATCTGTCCCAAAAAGATGTACTCTCTGTGCAGAATGATTTCCAGAGCTTGGGGAAGGAACTTAGCAGAATAGGCTGTAGGCTTACTTTCTCAGAGGTTTTACCAGTGTATAAGGAGCAAAACGGAAAAGGCCAGCGCATAGCACAATTCAATATGTGGCTAAAGGAATGGTGTAAAGGGGAAGGCTTTGGATATATTAGTCACGATGTCAGTAGCTGGTCCAATCAAAAGATGTACAAAAGAGATGGTTTGCATCCATCAAAAAAAGGGACTGAGTTACTCGGCTATAAATTCACAGATTTTCTGGAGGGAAATTTAAACTAAACAGCGGGGACAGGGAGTTAATTGATACGGAACAACCCTGTCCCCGGCAATTTAAAAACTATAGGGCTATCAGTGCATGTAGCACAGATGTGTGTGTGGACAAGAATACCAACCTTGCTACCAATCAAAATGAAGCCTCTAATAGCGAGTGCCATATAAAGTGCACTAACCAAATAGGTGGTAAGACAATAGGGGAACTCAGGCACCACACAGGTTATGTAGAAAGGAAACACAGGGCCACCCACAAAGGACTCAAATGTTTATACACCAATGCACAAAGTATGAACAGCAAACAGGGTGAACTAGAAATTCAGGTTAATGAGGGCAGATACGATATTGTTGCCATTACGGAAACATGGTGGGATGAAACTCACACATGGAACACACAGCTAGAGGGATTTAAATTATTTAAAAGAAACAGACCAAATAAAAGAGGAGGTGGAGTTGCTCTCTATATAAGAAATAACTACATCTTCACAGAAATAGAGTACAACAATGATAAAAACTGTCTTGAATGCATTTGGGTCAATATAAAAGGGGGGGGAAATGACATTGCCATAGGTGTATACTACAGACCACCCAACCAAACAGAGGAAATAGATGAACTTTTTGCTAGTCAGCTAACTAAGGTATGTAGGAAGCACATCACAATAGTAATGGGGGACTTTAACTACCCTGACATCAACTGGGAGACAAACTCCGCACCAAGTGGAAGATCAAACAGGTTCCTGGCAAACCTAGCAGACAACTTTGTCTCCCAAAAAGTAGAGAATGGAACTAGGGGATTAGCCATTTTGGATCTAATTCTCACTAACAGAGATGAAATGATAGACGGTGTTGGAGCCATAGGAACCCTGGGAGGAAGTGATCATGCAATATTAGAATTCAACATTATAGAAGCACAACCAATAGAACACAGTCAAACTAGAGTCTTGGACTTCAAGAGAGCTAATTTCAATAAACTTAGAGAGGGCTTGGGAAGGATTCCATGGATGAGAATCCTCAAGGGGAAAACAACTCAAGAAGCTTGGGAAATTTTGAAAAATGAGATAATAAAAGCACAGTCTAGCACAATACCAACAAAGAGGAAAAATAACAGCTCTCAAAAGAAACCAGCATGGCTGCATAAAGAACTCTCTGACAAATTGAAAGATAAAAAGGACAAGTATAGAAAGTGGAAAGAGGGGAACATAACTAAGTCAGAATATCAGCAAATAGCCCGAGCCTGCAAAGATGAAGTGAAGAAAGCCAAGGCTCAAAATGAACTGAGGCTTGCGACCAAAGTCAAAAATAACAAAAAAAGCTTCTTTCAACATGTAAAAAACAAGAAAAAAGTGAAGGAAATGATTGGTCCATTAGTGGGTGGAAGTGGCAAGAAGGTGACAAGCAACAGGGAGAAAGCAGAACTATTTAACTCATTTTTTGCATCTGTCTTTACACAAAGGGAAAAAACAGACCAACCTATCAAAAATAGTGCCACAAAAAACAAAACAGAAACACAAGTTAAGATAGGCAAGAAAATCGTTAGTGAGCACCTGTCCAGCCTAGATGAGTTCAAATCGCCAGGACCAGACGGATTACACCCCAGAGTTCTCAAGGAACTGGCAGATGTGATATCGGAGCCACTGAACTATATTTTTCAAAGATCCTGGAACACAGGGGAACTACCAGAGGACTGGAAAAGAGCTGATGTAGTTCCCATCCTCAAAAAAGGAAAAAAAATGGATCCAGGAAATTACAGACCTATCAGCCTGACCTCAATACCTGGGAAGATCCTGGAAAAGATAATCAAACAACGAATCAACGAACACCTAGAGGCAAACAAAGTCATTACTAAAAGCCAACATGGGTTTGTCAAAAATAGATCATGCCAGACAAATCTTATTGCATTCTTTGACCAAGTGACAAAATTAGTGGATCAGAGGAATGCTGTGGACATAATTTACTTGGACTTCAGTAAGGCATTTGATAAAGTAGATCACAACCTACTACTTGACAAGATAGAAAAATGTGGGGTAGACAGAACCACCACCAGATGGATCCGTAGCTGGCTGACCGGCCGTACTCAGCGAGTGGTCCTCAATGGAACTGCATCTATATGGAGGGAAGTGTGTAGTGGGGTGCCCCAGGGCTCTGTTCTGGGCCCAGTACTCTTCAACATCTTCATCAACGATTTGGATGAAGGGATAGATGGGGAACTCATCAAATTTGCAGATGACACCAAGCTGGCAGGAATAGCCAACACTCCAGAAGACAGGCTTCAGATACAGAAGGATCTGGACAGACTTGAACACTGGGCACTAACTAACAAAATGAAATTCAATGGTGAAAAAAGCAAGGTTCTACATTTAGGCAAGAAAAACCAAATGCACAAGTACAGCATAGGTGGCACCATGCTCAATAGTAGTAACTGTGAGAGGGACCTCGGAGTCCTAGTAGACAATCACCTAAATATGAGCCAGCAGTGTGCTGCAGCTGCCAAAAAGGCCAACACAGTGCTAGGCTGCATTAACAGAGGGATAGAATCAAGATCACGTGAAGTATTAATACCACTCTACAATGCCTTGGTAAGGCCACACTTGGAATACTGCATCCAGTTTTGGTCACCACGATGTAAAAAAGATGTTGAGACTCTAGAAAGAGTACAGAGAAGAGCAACAAAGATGATTAGGGGACTGGAGGCTAAAACATATAAGGAACGGTTGCTAGAATTGGGTATGTCTAGTTTAACGAAGAGAAGGACAAGGGGGGACATGATAGCAGTATTCCAATATCTCAGGGGCTGCCATAAAGAAGAGGGAATTAAGCTATTTCCAAAGCACCTGAAGGCAGGACAAGAAGCAACGGGTGGAAACTAATCAAGGAGAGAAGCAACCTAGAACTAAGGAGAAACTTCCTGACAGTGAGAACAATTAATCAGTGGAACAGCTTGCCTCCAGAAGCAGTAAATGCTCCAACACTGGAAGTTTTTAAGAAGAGACTGGACAGCCATTTGTCCGAAATGGTGTAGGGTTTCCTGCCCGAGCAGGGGGTTGGACTAGATGACCTCCAAGGTCCCTTCCAACTTTACTACTATTACTACTAGAAGCAACCTGGAATTAAGGAGAAACGATCCTAACAGTGAGAACAATTAACCAGTGGAACAGCTTGCCACCAGAAATTGTGCATGCTTCATCACTGGAGGCTTTTAAGAAGAGACTAGACAGCCACCTTTCTGGAATAGTATAGGGTCTCCTGATTGAGCAGGGGGCTGGACTAGATGACCTCCAAGTTCCCTTCCAGCTCTATTCTGATCACATTGAGATCTGACCTCCAAGGTCCTTTCTAACTCTGTTACTTTTACTGTTACTCACTTGATTCATGTTCTGTTTGCAACTGACTACATTTACTCTGGCCTA